CGACGCATGCAGTGGCTGTGGGGCAGCTTGGGCTTGGGCTTGACAAAGAATTTCAATGGCAAAATACCAAAATTTAGATGGAAACTCAGTGAAAATTTTAAAACAGCATAGCTCAGTCCTACTCTCAGTGAAATCTTGTCTCCGCTCCTGGACGCATGAATGGATGGATGGATGGAGATAGAGTGACAGAAACGCGGGTGATGGTGGGCAGCGGCGCACGTCGAGAGGCCACAGGCGGAGATGCCATATTGCCATCCATGCCGGCCTTTTCGAAAGGCGCTGTCCCGAGAGCGACCCGCGCGCACTACAGTCGCCCGCGCGCCGTACTGGGGGAGATTGGCTGGCTAGCTATTCACGGTGGAATAATAGCCGGGCGCGCCATGTGACGCCGAGGCAGGGGAGGGAGGGGGGGCAAGCGTGGGCGCGGGCCTAAAGGAATGTCCCCGACATGTCGCCCCGGCGCGACGTGATCGCGTCGTCGCCTTGTGTACTTTAACCGTGCGCCCCCGCCGTGCCGGCACCTGTCAACCCCTCGTCGTCCCCGCGCGCACGACGCGTTGTTGCCACACGCGGCCTACCCAACCACGTACGCGTACGTAAACGTAACGTAGCGTAGCGCAACGAACGTACTATGGTGTGCGCGTAAAAGAACGATATTAATAACAACGATCGTGCTAGGGGTTATAGGATGATTTTATTTCATTTTATTTTCAGTGACGCGACGCGATGAAGAGGGGGGGGGGGGGGGGGAGCAGTGTGTTTTAGGCCGCTATATGTGCTGCGCGCATTATACCCAGCTAGATGTACTCTAGCTGCTGAGCTAGCGTCGTCGTATCAGGCTTTCCGCCGGAAAGCTGGGGGTGATCTGGAAATCGTGGCGCACAGCACTCGCCGCCGAGATTTTTGCCGGATATCAACAGTGTAAATATTCCCCAAACTTTCCAAGTCGGTGACGACGTCAATCGAACCCGGACACTTTTTGAGTCTTGACCTCGCCACCCACTCGCCAGATCCGCCGCTATGTACGGCCGGCGACACTGCACAACCGCCGGCGAAGTGGCCGGCAGTGCAAAAGGCTAGTGATTAACTATGGGGCCCTTAAATTAATCTTCTGTTCGATTGATCGATCAATCGATTAGCATGCAGCGACGATGGCGACCGGGCGCACGGGTGTGGCGGATGATGGATCGACGACCGGCCGGACGACGGCGACCGTGCTCCCTCTGCCGACGTCTCGGTCGCTTTCCACGCGTGGCCGTGCGCGCCGGATTCAAGCCCGACATTCACGTTACTGTTTGGTTGGGTGCACGCTCGTGCGCCAACATACGCAGTACATATGCAACACTTAATTATTTCGGACTTGTACTTGTGGTAGTTAAAACGCATCGCGCGCTGAATACACACGGTTCAGCTTAGCGACTCCTATACCATCACTGTCAGAATCCATAATGTCCCCAGCTGCTACACAACTCTTATACTTCAAATTAACATACTGTTTCTGCGTTGCAGGTTTGACAGTAAAATTAGTGGCCATCGATCATGGGTTGTTTCTGCTAGTGCTGCCTGCTTGGGCACTGTCGATGCAAAGGTACTAGTGAGATGATTCGCTAGAAAGCTGCTATAGCCATGCAGCATCATGATGTTGCAGCAAAAGTAATTAGAGCTTTTGTGCTAAAGCAAACCTTTGACCATGGATGAGAAGCTAATTGGCCGTCAGAATTAAAGCTAATGAAGACATGGAGAATTGAATCATATCTTAGCTTCTCTAGCTGTGATGTGGAGGGAGAAAAAGGAGAGATACGGAGAGTGCTCAAGTCCGTTGCACTGATTGACGGGATCTGTCAGCTAGCAATCAAGAAAAATGATTTATTAGAGGGTTAACGACCTCTGATCATCTGTACCCTGCACTTTCCGTCAATTGACAGCATGATTCAGAGTTGCGTTTGCACTTTACTACCCTTTTGTTAATTTTGCCGGATTTTTTTTTAAATTTACTGATGACATATGGAACTCATAATTAAATGTCTGATACGATTACCAGATGGCCCAGAAATCCTGAATCAATCTTCACTTACTTGGACTAGTCGACAGGATCACCGGATACGATTAACCATATTTTGTTGGATTAGCTGGTGATCAGTAGTGGCCTCCTGGGATTGCAGGAGGAGGAATTGTCTATCAATTGGTCAGTCAACTTAGCCAACTCGATCAGCCACTTACTTCTGTAAATTAAATTAAGTGACCAAGTTGCAGTACCTAACCCAACATTCGTATGTGTTTTCTCGCATCTTGGGATCACAAGAGATCAGTGTGAACATCAGAATATTTAGCATTTAGCAAGCACTGTAGTAGTAGCTAGGAGACAAGAGAGATTGAGAGCAGGATTAGTAGTGTGACTATCCTACGATCTTAATGCAGGATTAGGGTCTTAGTGACGGGGTTAAGGGGGACATGAGCCGCGGCAAAAGGGATGGAGATTTGGAGTAGCTGTAGTACAAGTCGTAAACAATTGGAACAAGCTAGCTAAGCTGCATCAAAAGTTGCAGCATTGCTTCTCGGGCTTGCCTGCCCTCTCGCAATTCCTAGAGCCTGTTACTACTACATACTGACTACGAGTCTTCACACTAAATTTGTAATGTAATCCTCAGGTGATTTTTTTTCACATTTCTGCAGGAATTGAACTGATATATCTCTATGAAAGCACTACAATAAACTTGCTGTAAGAGTTCAGTTTTTTTCAGAGGAAGCTAGACTTAACAACGAAGTAAAGTTTTATATCTCTGATGCATGCGAAAATTTTGAAATGGACATCTGTTTCAATGCAGGATCCTGCAATTAGATGCTGCATCACATCAGCTTGTACGCAGGCATCATATCTTGCCAACATTTTCTGTGTTTGGCCGGCTTTGGTTTCTTCTCTGTCTGGACAGAATGAGCAGGAAGGAAGAAAAAGGTTTCGTGGCTACACTACACTCCTCTAAATCAGATAAATCCACCTCCAAATGACACTTGTTTTGTGGATGAGTACATGTATAATGTATTTCTAGCATAATCTGACGACCATGAATTTGCTTCTGCTTTGCGACTTTTGCGAGTAGATGACGAGGCCATGAATGGGCACATGGGATGGCTTCACCAAAGCTTCGTTGCTTTTCATACAGACTTGTGCATTGTACTTCTCACACAGACTTGTTTAGCAGTTAGCCAAGTCTTGTTGCCTCTTGAGTCTTGCCTGTAGATATATAATTGCAATTTTCACCGAGCTAATGATCTTACCGTAGCTTACCTTATCCCTGATGACCAGGGCGACATGCACTGACAGCACTGTGATTGCTCAACTATTACCTGATCGATTATTAAGAGTTACATGAACACCTGATGCTGCAGCTAAGCGGCATGTGGTTGGGCCTGGCATGCATGTCTGTCTGCTCTTGCGTCCCGTGCATGCATCTTTCTCCCAAAAGCCTGCAGCTTTTTCTTGATTTCCACCCCTCCTGAATCAGTAGCCCTGATTATCCGGATATGAATCCTAGGACGTGCGATCATCGATCACCTAAGGGCAAGTGCTATGATAGATGGAACTACCACCTCCAAATTTATTCATATCATTTATTTATGAACTAAGAGACAACTCATACAATATGTCACCTCTAGTACACAAATACCAATGTCTCTAATACTCTCACACCCTTATTGAAATTTGTGTGGAGTTTGCCTCTTAATTTAGGGGTGACTCATCATCTCTCTCCTCACTTCTCTCCTCCACCTCATCATTCAATCTAATGTGACACTTTTAAGAGCAGCATATGGAGCATTATAGCACTTGCCCTAATTGTCTTCGGATTCATTCTACCTGCAGTTGCTTTAATTAATCCCTTCACGGCTCGATCCACATAACGACAATCTAGCCAAGCTATCCTATGGTTGCATGCCAAAATTAAAATTTTGGAGTCGATGTAATGCCATTTTATTATACTAGTTTATTTTTTAAAGGTCTAGCTATAAATATAATTTACTCGCAAATTAGTATGTCTTATAATCGTATGGCTTATAATCAGCCGAAGACGAAACGTTTGTGACGTGGGTACTGGGTAGTACTAGCAAGCTGTGAATTGTAGGGAAACTATTCAAAACTCTCGAGAAAACATCATCTCGTTATTTGCATGTCATGTAAACAGTTATAAAAAAAATTAACAGGATATATTAATATGTGATAAATAACTCCATAAACATGCAACGATAAATGTAACTTTTACACATTGGAACTAAAGAATCAATTTGATTGTGATTATATGTTAACTAATCATAGCTTAATCTGTTTTTTTGAAAACAGTACTCTCTCCGGGTTGATAATACTTGTCGTTTTGAACAAGGGTATGGTCTTCAAAAAATAACTTTGACCATTATTTTCTATCATAATATGTAAAAAATTATTAACAAATATATGATCTTATTAAAGTACTTTTTAAGACTAATCTATACTAATCTATACATGTGGTCACCATATTTGAAAGATAAATATTTTGAAAATGATTCATAATCAAATATTCTAAAGTTTGACCTCACCCTTATCCAAAACGACAAGTATTATCAGCCCAGAGGGAGTAAAAGATAATTTTAATTTGTATGTTTGCGGAGTGATGTCTATCACATATTAACCTATCTTTTTTTTTGAAAAGAATTATAATAATTCGAATATAACATACAAATAACAGTGGATATTCCAAGAGAGTTTAGAATCCCTACCGGCGGGTGGGTACGGGCAAGGACGACGTGCGCGCGGCTGAGGCGGCCGGCGTGAGCGGCTGCATCTCCACCGGGAATTGGCACACACGCCGCTGCTGCCGTGCCGGCCCGACGCCCGGCACGCGCGCGCCATCCCGCCCGCCGTGTCTGCCGCGTCTTAGCTACTACTACCTGCGAGAGACCATGAATGGCGCGATGGCGTCAACACGATTTGATGATCACGTGCACTTCAGATTAGATTATCCTCTCGTTAGGCCAGTCTCAATGGGCATTTCAGGAGAGTTTCATGCACATTTAATGCATTGACACATCAGCATAGAAGGCATTTTTGCATGAAATAGGGAGAAAAGAGGGGAGAATCGTTTCACCATGGTGAAACGACTCTGCGTCGTTTCCTAGGCCTCGGTAACTCTGTGAAACGGCCATTGAGGGCGATTTTTGTTTCATCCTCGATCCCGTGCGCAGAGGCAACGGCGAGCTCGCCATTCCCGCGCGCGCGCGCTTCTCCCGCCCCCCAGGTCCTTCTTCCCGCCCCTTCCTCCCGCCTCCTTCTCCCCAATCCTCCTCCTCCCGCCCGCCCATCATCTGTCCATTCTTGAGCGTCGTGGCTAGGGTTACGGCACCAGATCGAGCAGGCATGGATCCGCCGCCGGCGTCCGATTCACGGCGGCGCGGAGGTGGCAGAGGAGGCAAGAATCGCGCGGGGAAGCAGCTTGGACTGAAGAGACCGGCGGCGCCTGCTCCATCATCGCGTCCAGGTTCCCCATCACCACCGCATCGAACCCCGCTGCCTCCGATTTCCACCTCCGCTGCGTCGATTTCGGCTGCTGCACCGACTCCGACCCCTGCTGCTGCGTCTTCGTCCCCTGCTGCCCCGATGAGCAACATGCCCCCATGGCCTGCTCAAGGAGGAGGATGGGGCGGCATTCCCCCCAATTTTCCATTCGGTCATGGAGAGCAGCAAGGCCCAAACTCATGGTACCATCTCTGTTCTTCCTCCCCTGCTGCCCCGATGCTATCTATTAATTTAATCCTATATGTCGATGCTGTTGATTGCTATAGATATGTGCTTTTGTTTGCTGCAGTATTGAAGGCTGAAGTCAATATCATCCTGCAGTATTGAAGGCTGAAGTCTATTTGAATTATTTTTATCTACCTTATCTATCTTTGTCAATCTGGTCCAGTATACCAGATTTCAGTCACTTTAGTTTATCCAGTTTATCGTATGGTTGAACTTATCCAAGTTATCTTAACTACCTTATATATGGATGAACTTTGCTATTCCATGAGCAGTTTGCTTGCCGTATGCAGTTATCCATTTTATCTGAACTTGTATGCTTGTTCCAGAAATATATTTGTATATGCATGGCTACAAAATCACCTGGTGCATATGATCAGGCTGCTATCAAGCAACCGAAAGGCCTTAATTGCTTTATTTTGTTTTGGAAACCGTGTAAATGAAATGCTCCATTGTGAACGTTTGATTCATAGTTTCATCTAACTATACATGGTGTGGCGTATGTGAAACCGTGCCGTGAAACTTCCCATTGAGACTGGCCTTAGTGTTAATCAACCGACAACTCTCGGCTATAAACCTGGGGATTATCTTTTTATATACTATATCCGTTTTTTAATAGATGACGTTGTTAACTTTTTATCACACGTTTGACCATTCGTTTTATTAAAAAAATTACGTCTTATCAAAAAGTACCTAATCATAATTTATATCTTATATATTTTCATAAAATTTTTGAATTACATGAATGATCAAACATGTGTTTAAAAATTAACGGTGTCATCTATTAACAAACAGAGGGAGTATATAAGGATGATGACTCTTGATGAGGCCACAAAGTTTGGCGAAGTGGCGTTGAACGAGCGATTATAAAATTAATTGCTCCGCGGCTTAAGCCGAGGGGAAGCAAAGGTTCTACTTCTACATTTGGTTCGTGATGATCATCTCCAGCACTCTAGGCGCGCAGCATGTGGCGGCAGCAATAATTGGCACTGCTCCATTAACGTTTTATTACTGACATTTTTGTTACTTCTTGATTTAAATTTGGCTACGAATAACACACACACACAACCAAATTGGAGGGGATCACGCAAATCGTATGGCCGATAGGGACTCGGCAATCTGGAACAAACTGTTGCCACTTGCAGGCCTGCACGTCATTTATGTGACTCATCATATGAACCACGCCTTGTTGCTATACCAAACCACGAACAAATTAAAATCTTTTCAAAAAAAATAAAACTAGTAGTTATAAACACGATGAATAGATCATCCATTATCTTAGCTGCTGCCTGCTATTTATATACTCCTACTTTTCTACTAAAGTGATATTCCCGTTCGTACGTACGGGACAAAACAGTGAGGACAAAGTGGCAGTGTGCAAAGACGGTTTTGCCCCTGGAAACTCCCCTATAAATACCGCCTTCACCTCGCTCGCTGTCACTTATCACTCGAGACAGCAAGCCTAGTTCACTTCACTGATCACAAGCTCAGCTAAGCCAAGCACTCCCTAGCTACTACTACACGACACGCGTGCCATGCCGGAGGCGGTAGCGGCCGCGGTGTCGCCGGCGGCGGCGGCGGCGACGGCGATGTGCGCGGAGCACCGGGAGAAGCTCGAGCACATCGAGCGCGTGACGAGGAACGCGGGGCAGGAGCAGCGCCGCGTGCTGGAGGAGATCCTGGCGCAGAACGCGCAGGCCGAGTACCTGCGCCGCCTCGGCGTGCCGGGCGACGCGCCGGGCGCCGACGAGGCGTTCCGCCGTCTGGCGCCGCTCGTCACGTACGAGGACATCCTCCCCGACGTCCTCCGCATCGCCAACGGCGACACCTCGCCCATCCTCTCCGGCAAGCCCGTCAGCGAGTTCCTCACCAGGTAGGTGTGCTCTACTCCTGCATGCGTGTACACATGGTCGAGCACTTCGCCGGCGTGAACTAATGGTGTGGTGATGTATAATGCGTGCAGCTCCGGCACGTCGGGTGGGGAGAGGAAGCTGATGCCGACGATAGAGGAGGAGATGGAGCGGCGGTCGGGGCTGTACAGCTTGCTGATGCCGGTGATGAGCCGGCAGGTGCCCGGGCTGGACAAGGGCAAGGCCATGTACCTCTACTTCGTCAAGTCGGAGTGGCGCACGCCGGGCGGGCTGCCGGCGAGGCCCGTGCTGACGAGCTTCTACCGGAGCCGCTACTTCCTCGAGCGGCCTCACGACCCGTACACGGTGTACACGAGCCCCGACGAGGCGGTGCTGTGCGAGGACGCGTACCAGAGCATGTACGCGCAGCTCATCTGCGGCCTCGTCCACCGCGCCGACGTGCTCCGCGTCGGCGCGGTGTTCGCGTCGGGCTTCCTCCGCGCGATCCGCTTCCTGGAGAAGCACTGGCCGAGCCTGTGCCGCGACATCCGCGCGGGGGAGCTCGACGGCGGGGTCACCGACCCCGCCGTGCGCGGCGCCGTCGGGAGGGTGCTCCGCGGCGCCGACCCGGCGCTCGCCGACGCGATCGAGGCGGAGTGCGCGAGGCCGTCGTGGCAGGGCATCATCCGGAGGGTGTGGCCCAGCACCAAGTACATCGACGTCATCGTCACCGGCGCCATGGCGCAGTACATCCCGACACTGGAGTTCTACGGCGGCGGGCTGCCGCTCGCCTGCACCATGTACGCCTCCTCCGAGTGCTACTTCGGCCTCAACCTCAACCCCATGTGCAAGCCCAGCGAGGTCGCCTACACCCTCATCCCAACAATGTGCTACTTCGAGTTCCTCCCCGTCAACTCCGGCGCCAACGACGTCGCCGCCCCGGAGCCCGACCACCGCGGCCTCGTCGACCTCGTCGACGTCAAGCTCGGACACGAGTACGAGCTCGTCGTCACCACCTACTCCGGCCTGTACCGCTACCGCGTGGGCGACGTGCTGCGCGTGGCCGGGTTCAAGAACGCGGCGCCCATGTTCGCCTTCGTGCGGCGGAAGAACGTGGCCCTCAGCATCGACTCCGACAAGACGGACGAGGCGGAGCTGCACGCGGCGGTGACCGAGGCGGTGCAGCACCTGGCGCCGTTCGGGGCGTCGCTGGTGGAGTACACGAGCTACGCCGACACGGCGACCACCATCCCGGGCCACTACGTGCTGTTCTGGGAGCTCAGGTCGCCGGCGGGCGGGACGCCGGTGCCGGCGTCGGTGTTCGAGGACTGCTGCCTCGCCGTCGAGGAAGGGCTCAACAGCGTGTACCGCCAGTGCCGCGCCGCCGACCGGTCGATCGGGCCGCTGGAGATCCGCGTCGTGGCGGACGGCACGTTCGACAAGCTCATGGACTACGCGCTCAGCCGCGGCGCGTCCATCAACCAGTACAAGGCGCCGCGCTGCGTGCGCCCGGGCCCCGTCGTCGAGCTGCTCGACGGCAGGGTGCAGGCCACCTACTTCAGCCCCAAGTGCCCCAAATGGTGCGCCGGCGGCAACAAGCAGTGGATCAGCAGCGGCGCCGCCGCGAAGAAGACGACGACGACCTGTGATAGCTTGGCTGTGTGAGAGAGAATTTGCTAGCTATGGTGATTAATTAAGGAGCTAATTAAGCATGGATGGTTGATTAATCGGTTAGCTAATCAACGAGTGTTAGTTCAGGGTAGTAGTACGTACGTATGATCATCTAGCTATTGGGCTTTTGTTTTCTTTTCTTTTCTCCTCTCTCACTTTTGTAATAAAGTACTAAAATTTTCCTTTTTGTTTTTTTTATCTTTGGGAATGTATGTACATTATATTAGACGACCTTTGATTTGCTAATGCACATCATGATCTCATTATGGCCATGGTGAGGAGAATTATGAACTCGCTTTTGTTGTTCCAAACCCAAATTTACAACCGTTAAGCTGAAAGTATAACTAGTACTGTACTCCCTCTGTTAAAGAAAAATAAATCTAATTCTAGAGATAAACAGAGGGAGTATTAATTTGAATGTACCGGAAGTGTTCCCAAAGTCAATTTGGATGTGCTTCTTACCCAGCTTTTAATGCTATGGCGAACATGACCAAAAACGGAAGGTGGCTGGAGTTGGTACGATCACTTGTCTTCATTAAAGAAAACTAAGCAAATGGCAGGACATAAAAGCTGCTATGAATTAACGATCAGCTCTGGTATGAACCTGATCATACTATAATACTATAAACCAACCTATAAACCAGCCAGTAGCTTTTATAGTTGACGTATCATATAGGAGTAGACACTATCCGTAAAAACTGGATATATACCCAATAGATGGTTTGTTCGAAATAAATTATCATCCCATCACCTTTTGTCTCTCTTCCTTCATCCACGTTCATTGTTTTCATTTTTGGTTTCTGTGTAGAATTAATTTCTTACATGAGAAATTGTATCTTCATTCTCTCTCTCTCCTAGTAACTCTCTTGATGCATCATCTTTTTCTTATATGACAATATATTCAATGCTATAAAAACTTGTTGATGTGGAGGGTTGGAACTACCCGTGAGAGGTACCACAATTAGAACCATATCCTGCAATTTCTACTAAGGAAGAACCTCAATATGATTAATACCCAATTTCTAAATATATGAAGATGTCAACCATTTTTCTAGAAACACAATATAAACGTATAAGTTTACACATGTAACCCATATAAACGCGCACACGCTCACCATGCTGCTATAAACACCTCCAAGACTGTAGACGGGTATGTCGCAATACCAATAAAAATAATTAATTAATCGTAAATATAAGTGCCCAGTGTTAAGTATAGTACTTAAATCCGGATATATATGTTTCACCATAAGGAATCTAACCAGTTAAGTTGTGCTCACTTTGTAATGATGTTAATTTTTCATCTGATTAAAAATAATAATTATGTAAATTCCGTTTGTTTTGTTACGAATCAATTTTATCATTAATGGTACTTAAAGCATAGATTATAATTCTTTTACATATTTACACTGATTGTTTAATAAGATAAATGATCAAATGCTATGTCTAAAAAGTAACAGTGTCATATATTTTAAAACGAATGGAGTGTATACTTAGAGCAGATATCAACTCTATAGCCTAGCTAGCTTTAAGCTTGATAATTTATTTTCCTTCCAATTTATATTCATATTATTCAAATACACATAAAAAAATCTCTAGTCTCCCCTTTATCCTTCTCTCTCCCTGAAAAGACAATTGGCCTTTAGTAGTGGCTCCCATGTGTCTAGACTGAAATGGTTTGTTGTGATAAACTTGCTGTACTGGTTGATCAGTTGGGTACGTTGGATTTGCTTGCAAGTTCATTATGGTTTGGTAGCCCCCATAGCAAGCAGGAACGGAATAACTTTGTCAAGCTTGGAAATGCAAAAGATCCCATGCCAGCGGCATGATGACTGATGAGCACCCTCCAGAAACTTCATCAACCAGCTATATCTATAATTCCAGTATAGAACACGTGTATAATTGTAGAAATAGAAATGCGGGATACTATAAAAGAACTTGATTCAGATGGATTAAGCAATAATGTTAGGGGGTATTTTGTTTTATGGATGGTCGGGCATATCATGAACAATTGCTTATATTGGGATGAACTAAATATTATTTTACTATATATTAATCTAACAAATAGCTTAGTTTAATGTATCAAAGCAACACTAACGTCCATAGAATTTTTTTTTTCTGTTAGAAATTTTAGTTCGAGAACTGGTACACATTATCCATAAGTTGATAAGTTGAAGAAAAATGTTTCCTTGCCATGGTGTTGGCTGAGAATTGTCTTTTTAATTACTTCACCACGCATCTAACCATTTTTCTCAATAGTTTTTTTTTCACGTTATAACCATTTTTACATTGTTAATATGGTGATACATTAAGCATATAGGATTGTACACATGAGTCACGATGAATCATGAACATATATATGTGGCTAAAATCAACACAATAAGGAGGCCTTTTTTTTGACCGGATCAATCTATTCGTTTCACGTTTCTGCACCAATTAATCCATCCTTTTTCCCTGATAGACTGTCTCTTTGTCATTCTTTTTTAAGTTACACTTTTCATATTCTTTCTTGCTGTTCTTGCGTGCCTCTCCCATTTGTGTATAAACTATGAAGCATGACAGAATACAGAGACAAAAAATTGAAGTCACCTTTTCATCTTCTTTCTCGCTGTTTTTTCGTGTCCTCTCTTTTGTGGAAAAACGTCACACCGGCAAAAAGTTCATCGAAACTTATTGCAAAGGAAAGCTCCAAGATCGGCAAGTCCGTGCTTGGTTGGTGCAAGCTTTCTCTGAAGATTGGCTGGTGACAGCATCAGCAGCAGCTAGCTGAGCTATTTGATCATGAAACTGCATGTGAATGTGATGAAGCACAAGCACCAAACGGCCAGAATGCAAAAGCTCCATGACTCCATGTCCCCCTAGCTCTTGCATGGCTAGTAGTACACTGCAGTGAAAAAAAGGAGCAGATTCCTGACAGGAACAGCAACAGCTCGAAGCAGATGCTGACTGCATCTGGTGATATGATCTGATGAGTCCTTGTTCAAGAGAAGACCATGACCCTGCCTGGTCCAGTGCAGTATTGCACTCCATTGCAGCTGATGAAAAACTACAAAAGGCACTGCCCCATTTTTTCAACACTGCTTCTGTAGTTGTGTTGATTCTTTTGGCTCAGATTAACCCTGGCATAGCTAGAGCTAGCTCGATCGATGTCAGTGACTGTGACAAGAGAAAAAGGCAGGAGAAGCTTATCCAAATACTCGATGCCTGAATCCAAAGGAGAAATGAAAGCATCGATCTGTCTGTAGGATCGATCAATGCATGCATTCATATGCAAATCGATGCAGCAGCTATAGCAGCAGAGGGGTAGGAGGAGGAAGAAAGGGCCGCCCCTTTTCTCGGATTCGACATGATTGTTCCGTTTGCTGTCGTTTTAGCCAACCGTATCTTTGTTGTTGATTTCTCCTCTGGAAAAGTACTACAGCTTTGTTTCCCAGGTCGTTTGTTTTCAAACGTATAATTCATTTTGTTATTCCTTACTCCATCCGTTCCAAAATATAATTAATCACTTCTAGATTTAAAATTTATATAGAAAAATAAACATTATTAGAACTATTCAGAGTTGTTCTATCAATCACCAACATTCAAAGAATTTGCCATGGAAAAAAAATATGATCTTTGTTGGAGGCAATGTGATAATGTAGCTTTGTCCATGAACACTGTAAAGACGTGGTTATTTACTTGTGAATATCACACGCACACATCTTTTATGATTTCTTGTTGTTTTCGAGAGACATTTTTTTGTGAAATGGATACTTTGCCCCTAGGACCAAACTTTTTTCCTAGCCCAGTGGTTCGATCTTTGACCCAATCAAATGGGCAGCTCCTCATCCCCATGACTCCAAATACGGCTTCGACGACAACAACGACGCAACAAGTGATGATAGTGGGCTCAATAGTGCATTCGTGCCAAGTATGCCATGGCAAGCAACGCACGCTATACCACACGGATGGAGTCGCTTCGTTGGCATTATCTCGAAGCCGGTTCGCTATTGTTGAGGCCAATCGCCCAATCCCCTGGTCCTCAGGGCTAACACCATCGCTGCTTGGGGGTGGTTCTGCTACCACAAACACCGTGAAGATCACTTCGCCATCACCGTGCAAGAGCCACTCTGTCATGAGACGAAGGCCCAAGACAGCTCCGCCGTCACCATGCACAACCAATTGGGAAGGAAGTCTAAGACAAGGGTAAAATAAATACTTTATGTGGTTCCTCTCTCATCTCAACCAAGTGAATATTGTATTTTTAATGTTCGCGGTGTGATGTAACAAATTATTTTGTTTTTAGGTGTTGTTGGGTAAAGCCTCATTCTCACGATGCCCACCAACAAATTAAAGAGCAGACTTTTTATTTTATATTCTGTGGCAATTTTGCCTTCGGATAGTACTAGCAATGTGCGGTTGGTTACTCATATGTGCATTGTCACGATGCGTGCGGACTAGCTAGGACTCCCTCCGGGCTGATAATACTTGTCGTTTTAAATAAAAGTGAGGTCAAACTTTAGAATCTTTGATTATGAATCATTTTAAAAATATTTGTCTTTCAAATATAGTGACTACATGTATATATTAGTCTTAAAAAGTACTTTAATAAGATCATATATTTGTTAACACTTTTATACATATTAATAAAAAATAATGGTCAAAGTTGTTTTTTAGAGACCGTATCATTGTCCAAAACGACAACTATTATCAACTCAGAGAGAGTAGTATTTGCTAGTTGCTACCTCCTCCTAAGCCAGTGTGGCTTCTCCCTTATTCCATATCTACTATTCTCTTGGCATGCGTGTGGTGGCCACCATATACCACTGAATTTTAAATTTTAATAAAAAATATTCAGATTTTATTGGTTTTTATCGGTTTTCTTAACGTATTCCACCGAAATCTGATGATATCGCTCGTGAGTGGATTTCAATCCGGCATCGGAATCGTGAACCCTAAATTTCCACACGTGGGAGAAATCCATCCACCCACTACATGCCACACACAGCGAGCTGGGCGGCAGCCGGCCCAGAGCGTTGGGAGATCGATAGATCGAATTTAATCGTCTCCCGGGACGACCGGTCGCTGCATGGGGCAGGCGAGGCATGATAGCAACGTGCCCTGCGCGTCTCACGCTCGCTTGTCGTTCCATCGTACGTGCGCCTAGCTCGACGGCAACCAGCCTGTTGACCACACCACCACCTGCAGGGTGGCACACCCCATGTCACAACGTGTCTACATCTTGACCGTCCATAACCATGAATTATCCATCCAAATACGTGGAATACTGGCTACTTTCTCCGCTCCCTAATACTTAACTAATACTTAACGAGAAACATTTTAAATTATTATGAATCTGCATATGTTCATATCCAGATTCGTAATAGATTGCTATAATACGAGATGAAAAGAATAGTGTATATGCACACTCACTTGTTCTACGTGCACACAATAGTCCAATGATTAATATTCAGTAGTATACTAGTATTAGTATCTTCATCAAGAGGCAAGTGACAACTTGGGTGGTTGGGTAAGGTAGTTGAACACACAAGCACACACAAGTACAGCTGGGAGCTGGGATCGATATATATATACCTGATCCTAGACAAATCAGATTGCAACGTGTGAATGATGTACGTGACGAGAATAGTGATCCAGATTGAAACACATACGATTCTTTAATGTTACTAATGGGCTCCAAAAGAGTATAAACAAAGTTTTTTATTCAATTTCTTAATCAATAGGATATATATCTCATGTGAAAAAGATCAGCACAGTGAGCCCAAGTGGCTGGCGTGCATGCATGCACACGTGCAGGAGGAAGGAACCGAAGGGGACATGTAGGGCAGGAGCCCCATTCCGTGAGAGCTGGTGCACGGATGGTAGGGAGATGGCTGTGTCAGCTGGTGCCATTGCCTTAGCTTGTCCCTGGCTGTTTGTCGCCGGCCTCCTCCTCCTCCTTCCTCATCATCATCATATCTGGGACTGGAGAACGGCCACGCTCTGCAGTGCCCAGGAATTAAGCCACATCTCTCGTTTGCATCGATCGGCGACGAGACGACAAGCTAGCCCCCAGGCCCATGCACCCGTGTTTCATCTACTCCTACAGTTGCGGTGTTGCTTGGCATTTCCCGTGGCGCAGTGGCTGACACGTGGACCCGGGATCCCATATATCAGCGACATCTACTGCAGACAATCCCTACTGATTGGCAGTAGTCGACACATAGTCTCACTACCCGGCATAATTCGTGGCTTGTGACACACAGTGCGTGACCCAGCTAGCTGGCGAACGATGATGCTGCACACACACACACACGCACACTTGCAGTACAGTTGGTCGATTAGGCGATAGGCAACAAGAGGAAGGTGACACGTACGTACAGGGTGTGTGGTGGTTGCTCCGACGATTGGCCGGCCGGCCGGCCGGTCAAGTGCGACGGCGACGGTGGCGACGAGGAGGGGACGATCGATCGAGCCGGCAGGACGGGGGAACATTCCGATCTCGCCAGCGATCGCGGTCGCCAGTGCGGTCGCCGTCGGGCGACAGTGGCGTCGCGACCTAACAGCGAGATGTACAGTATGTGCGTGCGAGGGGTGCAGTGTACGTGTGATCGATGGAGCCTGGCCTGCAGCACGCGCCGATATGATGTGATTGGCAGATCGGCCGGGTCGTCGTCGTCGTCATCGTCGCGACGCAGTTCGTGAAGCCGATCGACCGACATGCGCACAATCAATCGGAGGCTATGACTGCTGTACTGTGGTTGCATTGTCAGCTTGCTCTAGGATTATATAGAGCATATGCATGCTTGCAGCATGCCTAGTAACAAGGGCGGAGCTACAGCAAAATAAAGGGTGGTGTCACTTACTTAATTTACTCTACTTTAGATTGAGTTTAAACTAATATAGGTGTCTAAGTTTGCATTGAGGAGGTGTATACATGATGAAAATAGATAAGGTATAGCTAAAAAATTTTCTTGATCGGGTTCCTGGACACCCCCTAGTATACACTAGCTCCGCCCCTGCCTAGTAGATATTAAGTAGTAGTACTGCCTGTGTTGTGTAGTGTAGTGCATGTAAACAATTATCAAGTTCGACTCAAAGGGTCCCCTCAAACCCCCCACGGGAGCTCCAGCGTCCTCCGGGGTAGAAGAATTCATTAGTTGTAGTCCTTGTTTAGTTTTCAATTTTTTCTTCAAACTTTCAATTTTTTCATCACATCAAAACTTTCTTACACACATAAACTTCTAATTTTTTCCTTCAAACTTCTAATTTTAACGTGGAACTAAACACACCCTACGGTTGAGCTCAGCTAGTTTAAGCCTAGTCCTATTTGGAGTGCAGGATTTTTCACAACAAACGAAGATATTCAGAACCTCCACACAGCTAGTATAAACCTTGGCCTGTTTGGAATGCAGGAATTTCTGCAATAACAGCCAGTTCTGCACAAAACAGAAAGAAAAAAAAATCCCCAAGTTGCAAAAGCCAAATGGTATGCTTGGTTCTGTGTCCAATTGTCTGGTACAGTACCGAGAATTTGGGCTTCATATATTTGGATTCGTGATTACCAAATTCTGCTACAGGGCCACCTAAAGCTCTTTGGTCACACTACCACATGACATGGGTTTCTTGCTGATTTTTTTGGTCAAATTGGAGGTAATGAACAAAACATTCATCAAAATTATTGGCAGGCCAAGCTTTTAAGTGTGATATGGGCCCCCTTTTTTTCTTGTAGCGGCATCTTGACTTGTGCATATATGTACAATTGTAGGCTATAGACCGAAGGAAAGTCGCTGGGCCTCGAGGTGTCGCCCATCAACAAAGGCCCGGCAAGAACAAACATTTACCGCAGTTTGTCAATGGTGAACAGTTACTGAAAAGACTTTGAATTGATTTTACCTAGAAAAAGACCAATCATTCTACCATTCCACACATTTTCCAGCCGTGGATATGCATGCATCCAGGAAAGACGAAGACTCCAACGAAGAAAATTCAGCAGGCAGGCAGGCATGATGAGGTAGAAGAGAACACAAAGCCAACAGAACAGCAATAGAAGAGAACAAAACATTGTACTATATATGTCTTATGCCATTATAGATGTTGCAAATAAAGGGATAGGTGGACAATCATTGGCAAAAAAGAGAGACACCTTCGTCATAATTCCATCCAAATATGGATTTTAACGTTCACGAGGTCTTTTGGGACCGCTGAGTTAACTTCTTGGGAAGAGCTAGAAGGATTGCTGCAAAATGTAGCTTTGCAAGCAAATCCTGATAAGCTAACCTGTGGCTTTCAGAGAAAAACAGGAATTGTACTACCAAAAGTCAGTCTATAGAGCCCTGACCTTTAGACGAGTTCTAGACCTGAGAATGAAAGATATTTGGGGTGCACCCATACCTTTGAAACATAAACACTTTCCCTGATTGGCTTGCAAAAACATAATTCAGTCTACAAGTCAACTGAAGAGAAGAAATTGGGTGAGATCTAAATTTTGTCAACTCTGTGACCAGTTAGAGGATGCAAATCACATTTCATTTACTTGCCCTATAGACACATTCATTTGGTGTGTTTGTCGGGTTGCCTTGGGGTGGGATATGATCCCTATATTAGCTTTCAGGATTCTTTTAACCTTGACATTGGGAGAACTGGATCTCAACTTTCTAGAGTTAAGATTATGCTTCGTCTTGCAGCGTATTGGCAACTCTGGATTGTGTGAAATGGCATTATTTTCAGACACAAGCTGGTTCTAACCCCCCTAACAATTCCTTTTCTTATCATCTTTTGTTGCAGTGTAAGGTGTCGCTGAGACAGTGTGAGATTGTTCCCTTCAGTTCCTTGGAGTCCCTGATAGCAGCGTTGCAAGAGACTGTTCACTGCTTAAGGAGTACTGTTCTGGAGTTGGTTGTGGTTTTTTCTGCTTCGATTAGATATAAGCTGTTTTTCTACCCTGCTTTCTGGCATTTTGGTTGCCCTCCTCTTTTTGCCTTGTGTGCTCTGGGTTGAATGTAAAGCTGGTAACCCCAGCATAACTCTGCAAAACTACTCGCTTTCAGAAAAAGCATGGCCTTCTGGCCTTTACTCTAATAAAATAATTTCTTCCAAATATGCAAAATGAAGAATGCATGGAAAGATGAAAAGCAAGAGACACTGTTATGTAATCCTACATTCTGATCTGCATCCCAGCTAGGTGAATGATCCTAGTCCTATCGCAAATTAGGAGCTAGACACTGTTATGTAATCCCACATTCTGATTAGGGCTTGGCACCTTGGTGAACATTGACCTGCATTGTTTTCTGAAATGAGGACAATATTGCTTATGCCTATATTTCGATGCTAATCTAAACACTTAGCAGGGTACCACTCTCCAAAAGTTAGTGAAAGAAGAATAGATAACTAAATGCTTACTCCATACAAGGAAATCTACTGATTTATGATTAGTTTCCTATCAGAAATTGTCCTGTTTAATAGTGACGCCATTAAAGGATTGCACAAGATCTTAAGATATCATATGTGAGCCATTTTCTTCACTGTGTTCAAGTAGTATTATAGTAGATACTATGCTTTTCTCCTTCCAAAGTGTGGCAGTGGCGCCAGATGCAAATAGCTTAATTAACTACTAACGTCTCTCAATCAACTATCGTAGTAAGCAGCTTGTAGCAACAAGTGACCAGTCGCAGCGAAGAAAATGGACTGGCCAAACTCCAAGAAGCTTCATACTCAGGGTTAAGTTTATTGATGTTTATCCTAATTGCAGCGCATAACAAGTACATCGGAAAAAAATGAAACTTTTGGGTTGTGTTATTATTTAGAGGGCATTCCAGTATCGTCTGTTAAGTAGCAATTTCAGGCTTCAGCACATGTTTTTTATGATGAAATGGTAGCTTTGGTAGCTGCTGATTTAGTATTTTGTAGCAGCAAAATAAAAGTGATGGCTGAAGGAAAATCATGGGTCCATGGTAGTATTCATGCACATCAACTGGCATTAGATAATGTCACATTTTTCCTTGCTTAATTTACACATAATCGGAGCTTAGTTTTATACACGCATCTAACATTACAACATGAACATAAACAGTAATTAGCATAACATGGCATCAATCAATGATAAACGAATTAATGCGAGTTCAAGGTAGTGCCATTACTCTGGAAGATGAGCATCCTAACCTGTGATCCATCCATGGTGAGATCCCTCTGGTCTACAATGCGGGACCTCTTGAAGAGCACCGCGACGGCCGACGGATCGAGGTGCCGATCGACGGCGAGCGCGATGGTGCCTCCAGAACGGACGGCGCGCTCGGCTTCCGCGGCGAACCTGGACGGGAAGAGGGCGCCGGAGAACCCCGCGGGGTCGTCGGAGAAGATGAGGTCGAAGGCGCCGTCAGAGAAGGGGAGGTGGTGGGGGTCAGCGCGGCGAACGAGCGGCGGGAAGTCGACGAAGTCGATCCCGGTGACGTCACCGACCCCCTCGGCGCGGAGCGCGTCGACGGCGTGGCCGGCGCCGGCGGCCAGGCAGAGGGCACGGGAGGAGCCAGCTAGAAGGCGGAGGCCACGGAGCGAGGCGAATGCGGAGGAGGATGCCAGTGCCACGGAGCGGCGGCGCCAGCGCGCGGAGGCGCGGAGCTTCGCGAGGCGGCGGCCCGGCGGCACGACGCGGCGGGAGGCGGCGTCGCAGGAGGTTCGCGGGAAGCGGGCGAGGGGAAGCGTCGTGGCGCCGGGGAAGCAGGAGGTGGAGGCGTGGGAGATGAGGTACAGGAGCGAGACGGTGGCCGCGGCGGCGGCGACGCCGCTGACCAGCCGCTGGACTCGCCGGTCCATCGCCGGCGGCGATGCAGCGGTGGTGGTTGGGGCGACCATGGGATTGGATTTGTGGCCTTGTGGGTAGCAATTGGATCGTGCTCATCACGGCCCAATAATTATTGGGCCTTATGAATCTTACATGATGTATAACTTTTGGGCCAATTATAATTGGATTGGGTTGTGAATTTTAGTGTAGGCTTCAATATAATGGGCCTAAACCCAATTAAGCATCCAAACTCACGTCCGTTTTTTTCCCTCTGAATCATCATTCTCACCAGAAAATATTTCGATTCCAACAGTAATTCACGGATATTAATTTGGGGGAGGTGCATGTTTATAATTGATCTAAAACAATCTAGATTGAGAGTAAAACATCAAGAATTCAACTGAAATATCTTGTCATGGAAGTAGAAGTTTAAAACGATCCACTAAATCCAACCAGAAATTCCTCCTCAGTTGATTCTCCGTTGTCACTTCTGAGCTAATAGACAGTCTAACACCAGCTTAAGCTTTAATCACTTGATGTATACTGTAGATTGCTAAGCTAGGCTCAACTAGTTGGGCGTCCAAGCGCCGGTGAACACGGCGGCGTGCCCCTTCCACGTCAGCACCAGCATGTCGTCTTCCCGCTTCACGCCCCACCCCGTGGCGTGCTCGCTCAGCAATCGTCGCACCTCCGCCGCCGCCTCCTCGTCGAACACGACGCCGGCGAACCCTTTCCGGCTCATCCTCTCGGCGAGCCTCGCGCCGGGCTCCGAGCGCTCGGCGCCGTCTTCCTCGCCGATGACGCTCTCGATCTTCCGCCCGACGGCCGCCTCCTGCTCCAGCCGCCGCGGGCTGTCCTTGGGCGCCGACATGTCGAGCGCGTCGAGCAGGATCCAGTGGAAGTCGAAGCAGCCCGCCATGCGCGACGCGAGGCTCGGGGAGCCCAGGTCGGCGTCCTCGTCGGTGACGGTGAGCAGGCAGGGGTTCAGCGCCCGGACCGTGTCGAGGAAGAGGTCCCTCGTGTCCGGCGCGACGTGCCGGAGCCAGCTCTGGCAGTTCACGACGACCGCCTCGCCGTCCCTTAGCCCCAGCGACGGCGGGTCGGACAGCACGGACGCGAGTTCTTGGCACAGCGTCGTCGACGTCTTCTTCGGAGACGTCGTCGTCGCGCTCTCGACGACGTTGAACTCCAGCTGCACGCCTTTGGACTTGGCGAAGATGGCGAGCCGGGCTCCGAGCTCCGAGCTCGACACGGCGAGAAGCGGCGGGACGGCGGGGCGCACGGACGGCACGGTGATCCGGATCGCCGGCGCGCCACCGGGCCGCTTGGACAGCACGTCGATGAGCGTCGGCCACTGCATGCAGTGCGTGACGCTGAGGTCGACGACGTGCACGGCGGATGCGCCGGCCACGGCGCGGAGGATGGCGGCGTTGGACGCCGTGAAGCCGAACCGGTGCCACGGGGTGAGGTCGACGTAGTCGGCGAGCTCCGTCACCGACATGGCCCTCCCCCACGGCGGTGCCCGGCCTCTCTCCAGAAACTCCACGGCGGCGCCCGCCGGCGCCGCCGCGCAGAGACGGCACGCGCGGGCGACGAGCGCGCGGAGCAGCCACGACGTGAGCCGCTGGCTGGGGTCCCCCTGCGAGGAGGCGATGTTGTTGAGCACCCACATGGCCTGCTGCGCCAGCGTCACGTCGTTGGACTCGAGCGCGGCGGCGCAGTGGAGGAGCAGCTGCTGGATGCGTCGCCCGTCGACGAGCACCGGCCCGCCGGAGAAGCAGATGGAGCCATGCCCATGCGCCGCCGCCCCGACGCCGCCGCCCCTGAGCTCATGCTCCATGTCCATGGCTTTGTTGCTACCTACGTGCTAGCCACCACTGCGCTACACGATCCGGAGGCTGATCAAGAGCCAATCAAATTGCATCCGATGGCTGCGATCCGCGACACTTGTCAAGTGTCCATTGGGCAAGTTAGGATCATTTTTTGCTGAAGGATTGGGTTGCTTTGCTACCTCGTACAATTTAGTTTTGCTCTTTGGAGTTGTGAAAATTTGCAAGGTTAGTGATTAGTGAAGTGGATTGAGAAGCTTGCAAGGCTGTTTTGGTTTGCTTGTTGGAATGACATGGTCCCTACTTATAGGACCACTGTGAAAGATCCTCTTTTCATTTCCTTGTAGAAAAATAGGATATCCCTTTGGACTCTTTCCATGGGGTAAAAGACAATTGTGATGTCATCCACAACATCCTTGTCTGATTGTGCTTTGATTATATACTAGTATGAGATTTGGTGTGCTAATATTATGGTAGATACGTTTGGGATATTATGAAGTCTCGAGGAGAGAGTACAAGGTACTATTCACATTTCAACTTTGACAATTTTTCTTCTTTTTTTTCCAAAAAAAAGAATAAGTACTTTAAAAGATACCAAATTATCAAAGTGTATAGGTATTAAACTTTCATTCATCATAGACTAACCATATAACAATAATTATTGTACTGGTCAAAATTGAAAAAGTGATGATCAATGGTAACAAATTATCTACTACCTCTATTTCAGGTTATAAGACTTTCTAGCATTGCCCACATTCATATAGATGTTTGTCTAGATTCATTAACATATATATGAATGTGAGCAATGCTAAAAAGTCTTATAATATGATACGGAGGAAGTACTATCTAGGAAAACAGAGGGAGTAAAATACGTGGCTTCTTGATACTGGCCTGATCAAACTACAAAGGGAGTCCCCAAATCATTTGACCAAAAAGCTCAAAGGAGAAGCTCAATTCAGACAGTTCTTGTTCATGTTTGTATCAGTCAGCTTAGTAACTGTATCTGATATGTTTCACTTTCACGATGATTATTTGTAGTAGACTAGTAGTTACATTATTGCGTGACTTTATTGTATTCGAAGAGGTATTATGTATCACATTTTTCAGTGTAGAATTTGGCCTCTTAGTCTCTCAATACCTCCATAACTCAGATGATTAGTTAAAGTAAGATACTAAATTTTACATAAAAAATATGGCATTCCTCGTTGTTTTCTCAAGAACCAAAATATTATCTGCATTATTAGCCCGTGAGAAGGTGACTGCGGAAGCAACCATAGCCGGCCAGACTCTTGTTTGTCAGTTCAGATACAGGCTGAAATTCCCCAATAAACATAACCTGAACCTGTCATTCTCTGCACGACTGCACCCCAATTTTCTATCCCAGGGGCGGTCTCTCCAAGAACACAACGAGCATGTAGGCCAATTCTAGATGGGTAAAATCCACAGGATTCAGCATCTCTGAGCGTGACTGAAACACAATTTGGGGTATGTTTGTTTCCCTGCTTTGTCGTATCTCTGTCTTTTTCTCATTGATTTTGACGAACGTTAGGTTGGAGAAACAGAGCAAAAGGACATGGAATTCAGCTCCGGTTTATAGGAGCCACCTGTACTGATACTTCACAGGTTGCACTTTCTTGTCATTTGCCAGTACAGATTACTCCAGGATACCATACATGATGCACCAGTAAAAGCTGCTGATAAAGAATCGGAAAGAACAGGGAGTTCCTAGTGACACTTGTCGACATGTTCATCTAATCGAGTGGCATGAGAATTCAGTTAATAGGGCATCAGGCTACAGTGATACAAAAAAACCGAACAACTGCCAGGTGCGCACTGAGAGTGAAAAAAAATGCTTTTTTATTTTTTTTATTTATTTGCTGAAAATCTAAATCAATCCAGTGACCAAAAATCTAAAGCAATCCAGTGACCAAAATGATGAGTGCCATCAGCCATCAGGCCAATCAAAGTTTCGACGCGGTACAATTACCTGAAGATCTGAAGAAAAAGCAGTCTTGCTTTCGTCAATTCCGATTCTCATCTGCCGCCACTGGGAGAGAAAAAAGAACGGGGTGATAGCGAGACATCATGGCCGAAAGAAAATGGAAGAATCCAACTTTCTCAAAGCAGCGACCTAGATATGTATATATGTTCATGTATTCCGGAATCGAATTTATGATCTCGATGACCCATTTTATCGTCGACCAATTCGACAGCGATGCTGTGACTGTGATGCTGATGCATATGCACGATGCTAATTAATGATCCATTTTTAACGGTAAGCTAACACATTAGTACTAGTACAAATCATCTGCAGGCACATGGATTGGACGTTAATGCATATGCAACATGTGTGAGATGATCTTTGCTCACTTTTTGGTCCCTCCATATCTTTGAGAAATTCTTATCAAGTTTTGTGCCATCTTCACCGTCACTGTCAGAACTCAGAAGAAGAATAATTTGCTCTCTCCAATCGCGCGGCGACGCCGGCGAGGTTAGGATTCTCAGGCGGTGGCGGCCGCCGCTTGGTGGGCGTCGCCGGACTTGGGCACCTTGATCTCGAGCAACCCCTCGCCGTCGTCGAAGAAGGCCTCCACTTTCCTCCAGTCCGCGTCCTCCGGCAGCTCGACGCGCCGGACGAAGCCGTGCTCCCACCACCGCCCGGCGCGCCAGTCCCGGCCGTCCGGCGGAGGCGGCGGCGGCGCCGCCCGCCACAGCCCGCTGACGTCGACCACCCTCATGGCGTCGTCGCCGCTCACCTCCACGTCGCATTTCCTCCCACCTGAACAAAAATCAGTTGGCTAGTCTCTCAGCAGTTGCTTCTTGATTAACTCGATCACTAGTTTCACTACAATAATGTGAAAGCGATTAGGTTCTTTTTAGGGTTTCGTAATCGTCCGGCACACGCCATGACTGCTTTTTTCTCTTCCTCATCTGATTAAAAAAATGTCTGCTTTTTTTTGGACCATGGTGGATGGTGCACCGCAACCAGACGCAAAGAATATGTAAATTCAGAGACAGCGAGATCGCAATGTTACTGTAGTGAAAAAGCAGAGAAAAGCGCAGGAAGAAAAAGGGGGAAACCACATGACCCTAGTTACTTTCATGTTGCAAGTTTTATCCTCTGGTATAACCCGGCTACTTCTAGCAAATGTCAACTGTTTGGTTTCCTACAGGAAGTTGAAAAAACTCCCTGTCTCCGTGGCATCTGAATCTGATTCTGAAGTTCTTGCTGATAGCAATACGGCATGTGAATTAATTTGGTGCACTCTTTGCAAGAACTTCTGTTTCAGAAAATTGATCCAGCAACACTAGTACAAAGTACAAACATTTATCAGGCTCAGCTGTTCCTGCCAGTTAACCTGAAGATTGGATTGCGCACAAGCAAGATAATCTCTGACAAATGTGTAAGGTTAACTCAGTTTTTTTTCCCTTCAGAACGTGCTAAAACATGCTAAAGAAGATAATCTATGAACTAAGGAAGAGCATACACAAACTAAAACATGCTATACTCATTAATTTTTACTAACAAGATTAGTGATGAGAACTAATCACAATATGCACAAACAGAAAGCAGATATGGACCTTAACTACGCAGAAATGGAGAAAAACAGGAGAGAAATTAATCAAAGCCAGTACTCGAGATGGTGAATTTACCTGGTATGTCAGCTCTGAGGTAGTACTCGGAGTCCGTCTCGGCCCAGTCGACGGTGGTCCTGGCCCCGCGGCGGAGCGCGGCGAGCAGCACCTCCGGCTCGAACTCCCACAGCGGGAAGGCGTCGGCCGGGTCGAAGAACTTGCCGAACAGGAAGGGGCTGAACAGCGACCCCTCCCCGAACACGGCCCTCGCCGCCGCCCCGTCCGCCGCCACGCCGCCGCCGATCGACTGCAGGAACGAGCTGAACGTGTTCTCCAGCAGCGACATGCGCCACCTCGGCGCTGCTCCGTCGCCGACCGCCTGCCGGACCTCGATCCCCCGCCGCGGCGGCATTGATGGCGACTGACTGATCGATCGACTGCCTGTCTAGATGAGGCGCAGGTGTGTGTGCTGGGCGCACGCGGGGAGAGGTTCTTGTACGCGGAGGAGGAGGAAGAAGAGGCGGTGGTGGTGGTGGTGATGGCTTTTGCGGAAAGCAGAGGATGAGAGGTGTGATTCCGTTTGGAGGTAGTAGACGATGTGATTCCCGCCTTTTTTTCCTTTTTCTGGAGATTTCCACTGCATTTGCCATGCGAGGGAGACGACGACGACGACGACTAATCTCCGTGGGCCGCTTCTTCCTACTGGGCTGCCCAGAAGCCCATCGCATCACAACTCACAAGCCCATATAGCTTTAGTTAAAAACTTGTGGAGAGGCTGACATGTGGGGCCCACTGGGTAGTGATATCTCCACGATCTCTTCTTCTTTCAGATTTTTTTTTCGCCCACCAAAAAGTCCAAAAACCCTAATATTTCCCTAATCCAGATGGGGCTCTTCTCGTGGTGGCGGCGGGGCGGCGGCGGCTCGCCGGAGCCGGCGAAGGGAGCGGGTGGCGCGGGTGTGGCGGAGGTCGCGGCGGCCGGGGGCACGCAGGGGGCGGTGGAGGTGCTGCGGCGGCAGCGGCAGGCGGACGCGACCGTCTTCGAGTTCGGGTCGGCGGCGGAGTCCGGCGCCGCCGTGACGCTCGCGGGGTACTGCCCCGTGTCCGACGACCTCGAGCCCTGCCGCTGGGAGCTCGTCCCGGCCGCCGGCGAGGGCGCGCCGCAGTTCCGCATCGTCTTCTGAGCATCCCACATGCTCCGGCACCTGGGCATCTTGAGCTGTACCAGGTTTTATATATTATGAGTAATATAGGTGTGATCTTTCGTCTGCATACCTGTATCAGCTACCCAGGCGTTATCTTGAAATAAAACTTGAGTTGTTGATGAGTATCTTGATAAGATTTGAGCTATCATGTTTGATTTTGTATTCTGCTGTAGATGAGTTCACTTGACACCAACGAAAGCTTTCGAATTTGTGTGCTCGCTAGGATTATAGAAGCTTGCAGTTTACTAGCAGGTCCACAACACTGGAATTCGTGGGTAATGTTGGCCTAATTTCAGAAAACTCAATTTATGTAGGAAGTGAATGTTATACAATTTATTCATTCAGAAGGAAAGAAATCAAACGTTGATCACATAGCCCTCGATTTAACCACGAATTTCCTCGTTGATCACATAGCCCTGCATTTAACCACCAATTTCCTCGTTGAGTCGTTGATCACATATATTCTGTTATATGTCGTGCTGGTGTCTCTTCCTGCAACCTTTCTGAATTTCCGCCCCTGGGAACTAAATTGTAGCACATGTTAAAAATACTAAGTTGTTTCTTTGTCATCCGAATATCTGACTAGCAATAAGATGATGTTCTAATCCCCAACCAATGGATCAATTAGTGCACCTGATTCTGGCTTTCTGAGGGTTCATTTGTCCATGCTGTCGGGTTTGGTCACTTAGGGTGAGTTTGAGGAGAAGGGGATTGAGAAGATTGAGAAGATACACAAAACGAGGTGAGCTATTACCTGCTTAGATGATTTGTTGAGTGAAGTTGCCTTGTTGAATTATGAAACTGGCCATCACAATTCTTAACTGTAACTTGTTTTACTCTTGTGGTTACTCCCCTAGGAGTGGGATTCTGAACAGCCTCATGTTTCTTATGTTGAGTTGTTGACATGGCTGATGGCATGAATGTTTTCTGAAGATACCTCACTGAATGAACATCTACTGTAGGGCCACAGGTTGCATGGCAACCGTAAATCGATTACCAAATTGGAATCTGAACAAATTGGAATCTGAACCTCTAGTGAACAATGCTTGAATTTGAATATTAAGAACATGAATATCTACCTCATTGTTTGAGGCATGACCTGTAATTTGACTTGAATAGTTCCTATAATGTTTCGCATGATTTTGTACATACCACTTTCTGCCTATGCAAGGAAACGCTGCTTCTCATGACCCAACCCTGGAATCCTTGACAAGTTCTGTTCCTGAAATATTCATCTGAGGCTGTGTTTAGTTCAGCGCAAAGTTTGGATTTTTGTTGAAATTGGAGATGATGTGACTGAAAAGTTGTGTGTGTATGACAGGTTGATGTGATGGAAAAGGACTGAAGTTTGGATCCAAACTTTGGATCTAAACACAGCCTGAGTTGAGAGTCTGGGAACCGAATAACTTTTTATCATGGTTCAAAACCTGCAAATTCAGCATTCCTGGTTCAGCTTAATGCTTTGCTTACGCTAACTCATGCTCGACAGTCCAATGACACTGAGAATATGAAATTATTTGTTTGTAATTATTGTAGTTTGTGTGGGTACAAGCATTCTCGACATATATAATCCTCGGTGTGCTCATTTGATGAAGCACTTCAATATGTGTATTCTTCACACTGACTGTTCATTGTTGGCTGAAGTTCAGTGACTAATGATGGAATTCGTTGCCCATTTTGTGATGTTGAAAGTCTGCCTCAATACAAAGGTTAAGCATAGCATGCTGTCAGTTAGTCATAACCATCTTTGTAATCACATCTAAGTGAAAAAAAAAAAAAGGCTAGCTTGAGCACTGAATCTCTGAAGAAATTATGGCCAATGAGACATACTGATACTAGAGCAGTTGATATGTCAAAAGCAAGCAGCCACCTTATCTTCTCCTCCCGGCAGCGAAGCTTCTGGCGCCAATGGCCTTGAGCTTCCTGAACACTCCTCCCTCCAAACTCGCGCCCAAACCGTCGTTCCCGCCACCATCTCGGCAGTTCGCGCCACCGCAGCGGCAGCGATCTCTTCTCCATCTCTCGCTGCTCCTCCGCGAGCAGCAGCCGCCGCGACCCGTCCGCTCCTCGTCGTCCACGCAGGCGGGCGCGGCCCCCTCGCCGCCGTCGTCGAGGGAGGAGGCCGTGTCCCAGGCGAGGTCCTGCCTCGCCGCCGCGCTGCGCAAGCCGCTCGGCAAGCAGAGGAAGCAGCAGCGGCAGCCGCGGTTCCGCGCCGAGATACCAGTCGTCGACGACTCGCCGGGCTCCCTCGCGCGCCTCGCCTCCGACGTGTTCTCGTCGGGCCTCGGCTTGTCGAGGAAGGGCGGCGGCGGCGGCGCGCCGGCGAGGCTGCTGCTCGTGTGGCCGTCCTCCGAGGAGATGGGTGTGGCTCTACGGGAGCCCCATGATTGGGGGGAATCCACGGCGCACGCGCAGCTCGACGCGGTGGCGCCCGACGCGCTGAGCAGCTGCGACGCCGCCGTGTTCCTGGCGCCCGGGCGGTCGCAGGTGGAGAAGATGAAGGCCGCCGCCGACGCGCTGGACACCAAGCCGGTGGTCATGTTCAACCCGGCGTGGAGCTTCGACGAGGAGGAGGAGGGGTTCGCCGGCGGCGCGAGGGGATTCGTGGGCTCCTTCAGCGTGGTGTACTCCTTCACGGGGCTGGAGGTGAGGGGCCTTCTGAGCAAGAAGAAGGGTGTGCTGCTCCGGTGCGTCGACGGCGGCAGGTTCGGCGGCGAGAGCTGGGTGCTCATGGTGGAGGACGACGCCGCCGCGCCGGCGTCGGAGCAGTTCAAGGTGGTGTCGCGGCTGAAGCGGCGGCCGACGATCGGCGAGGTGGAGACCATGCTGTACAACGTCATGGCCGCAAACTCGCCGGTGACCAAGTCGGCAAGATTCCTCCGGGGGCTCGTGTCCAATGTCACCGGAGGAAGGAAGGAGAAGAAGCAATGATCTTTCTCGAGGCCATTGTTGCAGTGAATTCATCAGTACTAGATTTTTTTTTCTTTTCTGAATGAATTCGACAGTAGCAGATGTTTTCATGTAATTTTACGATTTCGAGAATTCGTTCAGACTGCATATGAGCGAATTCGCCAGTAGAAGTTTGCAGTGAACCATAACGAGTTTGATGAGTTCATATGCTTCCATGTGAATTAAATTTGAAAATATATTGTTCATTCAATTTTTTATCAGGAATATTCGGGATACAAATTTTTTTTCAGAACTATACCGTCTGTCTCGCACAACTATTACGCGAAAATGACGTGGGAATGACATCGCGGACGGTATCACGCGGTGAAAGCGCGAGACCATGCGCGGCCTCGCGAAATGGAAGAGCGAGACCGGCTCAAGCAATCAGCGACAGTCCATTGTCCAACGACTCCATTTGATTAGTTATTAATTACTTCATTAACAATTAACTAATAATAATAATTAGTGATTAATTATCTGGATTACGGATTATCGTTGATTGCTTGAGCGAGACCGCATGGCACCGGTATCGTTGATTGCTTGATCGCTCTTCCATTCCGTGAGGCCGCGCGGTCTCGCGTTTTCACTTAGTGATACCGTCCGCAACGTTATTCCCACGTCATTTTCGCGCAACGGTTATGCGAGATAGACGGTATATTTCTGCAAAAGATTTTGCATCCCGAATATTCCTAAGAAAAAAATGAATGAACAATGTATTTTCAAATTTAATTCGTAAAACAGTTCGTGGTTTAAACACAAAAATTGACAATTCACGAGCTTTGTCCACAGGCCAAAATTATGTACACTGACACGTAGTTGTTTGGCTTTGATCTGAAGGCCAAAATTTGTAATACCTGAGCCTAAAACTGATCTTTCTCTATGTCAGTGTTGCAGTGAATTCGTCCGTAGATGTTGCAGTGAACTGCAATGATTTTGAGTTCATGCATTCATGTGATATAAAAAAGGTAAATTAGAACCATGCCATTATAATTTTGTAAAGTTTGAGATATGTCATCGGTATCTCAATGACATGTAGGACCCACATGAGTCAATGACATGTGGGTCAGGATGGCATATCTTAAATTTTGCAAAATTATAATGGCATGGCTCCAATTTTCCCTATAAATGGGTGGCAAAATGTGCAGGCTCAGAATGATGGGAAACCCTTACGGAAGGTTAAATTAACTCGGTTTTAATAGTTAAAGGAAGCTTTATTATATTATTTTACTAGAAAAAATGCCCGTGCATTGCAACAGGTGAAGTTTATTTTAATCTTATTATTATTATATGGTTTAGTTAAGATGAAATTCACTGTGGGAGTTCGCTTGGATATATATATTTTTAGAAAATCATAAGCTGCAGTTAGGAGTTCGATTATCCTTTTTTAAACAGATTTCTTATATGATTCCTTATGTATTACCAAAAGTGAACGATCTTAAAAACCGTCTCAAATACGGATATGTATTTCCAAAAGCAAACGAACTTAAAACTGACTCATACGCGGATGACGTACCAAAATACTGGCAAAAATATCTTTAATTTCTATAATAGTAAAGAAGAGATATAGATTAAAACCAAAACATAAAATTAAAACCGACTCAAACACGGATAACAAACCACATAAACATCTTCAATTTTTATAATCGACTCAAACACGGATGATGGAACACGGAAACACCTTTAATTTTTATAAAAGAAGAGATTACAGTTTTTATTACAGTTAAGGATACGAATCAGACTGTGACTACAGTTGAGGGTTTAGTTATTCGAATCAGACTGCAGCTACACTTGAGGGAGGCAAACCGGACTCCTATCCTATATTTTGGCCCCCCAACGCCTCTCCAAAGCCGTGTCAATCGGAAATCGGAAGCGAAACCCATCAATCAAGCCCATGAACCACTAAGAAATCGAATCGAGGCGCGCGGCGGCGGCGGAGGAGAGGGCGAAGAGGAATTCGAGTCGTCGGAGGAAGAAGGCGCGCACTCCGGCCGGCGGCCATGGCCCTCCGGACCCTCGGTTCGCTCCTCACCCGGAGGCTCTCGCCACGCGCGCAGGCGCAGGCGGAGCCCTGGCTGGGGCTCTCTATTCAGGCGGCGGCGGCGGCGACGGGGAGGCGAGTATTCTACAGTGGTGCGTTGGCAGGGTTGGTCGCAGTTCTGCATCTCGACAAGAACACAGAGGATTCGGATTCAGGTATGATGAATTTGGAGTCGCCTCGGATGGGATTCCTGTTTCTTGTGACCTAATGTTGTTCATGTGTACTGTAGCAGCAGTGCCAGCAGCTGGTGATGCTGAGGAGGATGCGGGTACCTGTTCAAAGATGGCAAAATTAACTGGCGTGTTTATCTCAGTATTTTGAACGAAGCTGCGGAGCAGCTCGATGAGACCGAAGACGCAAAGGGCCTCCCTTTTGGTCGTACGAGATACGCGGGCTGGACGGATGAACACTTCAGGCGCATGGATCTCCGTCGCGAGTTCGACTGGAACCTGTACATTGCTCAGCGGAATGCTCATGGGAGGTTCATTAGTAATGATCCAGATGTGTCTCTCAACGCTATAAAGCAGGTAATTCCCTAACTCTCTACTTTAGAACTGTCCCAATTGCTCATTCAATTTTCAAGTAGTCATTCGATTTCCAGTAAGTGATTAGCTGCTGCATTTGCCATTCATGAAGCAACTAATACCTTCTTCCTCAGTCATTACTCTTTGTAATTTGTAGTATCTAGTTATCTCGGTAATTATTTGCACAGTAATTAGTGTTCTTTCCAAAATAAAAAAACTACCTGGAGAATTGTGTATTAACAAGTAGTCTTTATCACAAATTGTGTTTTTTTTGGCAAAAAATGCACTTGGTCATTTCATTTTTTGTTTTCTGATTTTAGCTGCACATGCATTTTTCTGTTGGGGAAGTTCTGCACTAACTTTTATTATCTTGAATGAGAACAGAGGAACAGAGATGTTGCCGTAAAGTATGCGGAAAAAAGGCGCCAAGCAGACGGAGAACTTCATTGATCCTTTTTAACTTTTTTTTTCAAAAAAACGATTATTGTAATTTCCATGATATGTTTGTGCATATTTTACTGGAGAACTTTTACATTGTAGTGCTAGTATATAGATGGGTAAATTAGAAGTTTTATAGAAAATTGAATTCTGTGGTTAAGAGTTATTCCGGTCTAATTGGGACTCGTTCACATGTCAGGCTGCCGGCATCGCTGCTGGATTTCATTTGTACGCCTGTGAGAGATGATGGTGCGTGTTGCGGTGGCACAATTCCTTAATCATCATTAAAATTTTACATACTTTGATTACAAGTGACCAATTACCGATCACGTAATGTAAGGTGTAACATAACAGATGTGCGTGAAATGCCTTACACGTTCTGAACATTCCTAGCTAGGTAAACACATTCATACAACTCGATGCGGGTACCGAAACTTTTTTATCTAAATTAATTCCTGACCCTTGTAAGTTTTACTTTTTCTAGGGAAACCCTTGTAAATTTTATACTAGCATATATTTTAGGTGGAAAATTAAATCAATATACACCGTTAGATCGTTTATACTAACAGTATATATCACAAGTATAGATCGTTTATACTAACAGTATATACCACAAGTATATTGTACAGTGAAAGTTCTCATATCCAGGTATTTAGTGCTGTACAATCTCATGGCGACCAATTCACCGGTGACCTAAGGCTGCGTTCGTATGAGATTGTTCCCAACCCTTCTCCCTCATTTTTCACGCGCACCCTTTTTAAATTGCTAAACGATGCGTTTTTTTTTTAAAAAAAAAAACTCTATACGAAAGTTGCTTTAAAAAAATCAGATTAATCCATTCTTTTAAAAAAATAGGTAATACTTAATTAATCACGTGCTAATGAACCGTTTCGTTTCCCAACCTCCTATAACGAACACAGCCAAGTTGGTTAGATTTCTCCTGGGCGTTCCAATGCGACTGGAAGAGAGGAGAAGCAATGATCTTTCTTAGAGGTCAGTGTTGCAGTGAATTCATCAGCATGGCCGTGTTTAGTTACAAATTTTTTTTTTCAAACTTCCAACTTTTCCATCACATCAAAACTTTTCTACACATTAACTTTCACTTTTTCCATCAAATCGTTTTAATTTTAACCAAACTTTCAATTTTAGTACGAACTAAACATAGCCTATGTTTCAGTGAACTGCTACAGTTTGGGAAGTGGTTCAGGCTGCATCTGAGCGAATTGATCAGTAGATGTTGCAGTGAGCTGTAACTTGAGGTAAAAGTAAAACAGCTCGTCTTTTAAACATAAATCTGATAAACTCAGGAGCTCAATGCATCAAATAGAACAAAAAGGTTACTCTTTCCATTTCAAATTACTTGCTATTTTAGATCTGTCTAAAGTCAAACATGTCTATTTTTAACCATTAATTTTGAAAAAATTATATAGTTCAACGGCATGTAAATGTAAATTATATATTATGAAAGCATTTCTTATGGTGAATTTAAAAATATTAATCTTATGATAGTAAACTGTATGAGTTCATAGAAATTGATGGCCAATTAACTTACAACAAATTTAGAGCAACAAATATTTTAAAACAGAGCTGGTTTATCTTACAAGCATTACCATTACTTGGCTTGCATGAGATCATCGATAAGGCGGAGCAGATCACGGTGCGATGAGCCGCCTTCTGCTACGGCGGCATTAGCCTTCACGGCGAGCTCCTTGATGGCGCATCTCGCCGCCTCCCTGCCCCTCCTGGCTCCATGAACTTCGTCACGGCCTCCGCCACCGCCTTCGCGGGGACGACCTCCTTCTCCTCATCCTTGGTATTTCGTACTCCGGCGCCCTCCGGCCATAAGCGCTCTCCGATCTCGAGCACCTTCGTCACGAGCCTCTCGGTGACGAACTGCTCGAACCTGGATTTTTCACATTTTGGTCTTTTTGAAAAACTTATTTCGCAAATAGACCCCTAAAAAAACTTATCCCAGAAATGGTCCTTTTTTCACGCCAGAGTGGCTGGCGCCGTCATCCAACGGGACGGCGCCAGAGAGGCTGGCGCCGTCCTCCTGCCACCGTGGCGCACGCGAACCGACGTGGCAGGAGGAGGGCGCCAGCCATGCTGGCGCCGCCGCCTCCATTCCTGTTTCTCTGTATGGAGTTGCAACGGTGTCATTTTTATTTTATTTTTTCGGATGTTTTTTCACACTTAGGATCACGATACAACCAACCACAAAAAAAATTTAAACTCAAACTACCACTTAGCTAAGTCTGAAAATAGCTAGCATACCACTTAGTCTACTTTGCACCTTCACTAAAATTAGACCATAATTCCTTTAGTAAAACCCTTTGATCAGCATGTTAAATATAATGCACTCTAATTCAAAATATAACCACATGAAATGACATATATAAGTTAAACAGTACATAGAGATGCAATTTTTTTTATTTTTATTTCATTTTTTTGATATTTTTTTCACACTTAGGAGAACATAGGAACCAACCGTATAAAAAATAAACTCAAACTAGAATTTTCCAAAACTCTACCGAAACGGACAGAATATGTCATCTATTAAAATAGGCGTAACTTTCTCATACGGACTCGGAATCAGGCAAATAATATATGCACGGACATCTACAGAAAATGTTACATCCGATTCTCCCCAGCTTTGCCGGGTTCGGAGATATTAAAACCTCCAAATTCCGCTTGCAAGATTGTGTTTTCGAGGAGAAAAGTTTTTCGGTAGAACTTTGGAAAATTCCACATGCCACATATTTTGTCCGTTTGAGTTTATTTTTTACATGGTTGATTCCTGTGAGTTCCTAAGTGTGAAAAAAAAATTAAAAAATAAAATAAAAATAAAAAAGTTGCACATCTCTCCTTTGCACTAGTTCGGAGAGAGAGGAGAGGAGAGGAAAAATTCTACAGGTCACATATTACGTCCATTTGAGTTCAATTTTTCTATGGTTGGTTCTTGTGTGTCCCTAAGCGTGAAAAAAATATCAAACAAATAAAACAAAAAAAAAATTCCCGGTGGGGGGGCGCCAGCCACTCTGGCGCACTCCCTAGCCACCTCAGCATCGCCCCGCCACGTCGGCAGGGGGACGGCGCCACGCCGTCCTGTTGGACGACGGCGCCAGCTACTCTGGCGCCCCAAAGAACCATTTTTGGGATAAGTTTTTCTAGGGGTCTATTTGTGAAATAAGTTTTTCAAAAGGACCAAAATGTGAAAAATCCAGCTGCTCGAACACCATTGGCCATGTTAAGACCGGGACACCGGCGCTGACCGCCTCTAGCACCGAGTTCCACCCGCATTGCGTCACGAAGGCACCCACTGACGGGTGGGCCAGTATCGCCTTTTGTGGGGCCCAACCTCTGATGACCATCCCCCTGTCCCCGACCCTCTCCTTCCAGCCATCGGGTGGGGCCCACATGTCAGTCCTCACCACCCACAGGAATGGCTTCCCGGCAGCCTACAGCCCCAAGGCCAGCTCGTCGAGCTGAGTGTCTGACACGTGGGTCAGGCTACCGAAGCAGAGGTAGACCACTGACCTGCTAGGCTTGGAGCTCAGCCAGTCGAGGCATGGTGACTCACCGGATGCCGGCAATGGCGGCGGCGCCGGCGAGACGGGCCCGACGAAGTAGGCACGCTTGGCGTGTTTGTCTCGCGTGTACATCTCACAGTACTCGGCCTCGAGGTCCAAGAACGTGTTGACGACGACGCCAAAGTAGGCTGATGGCCCCGAATTGGCGTTCTTGGGTTTGGAGCAGCTCGGTCGTCGGGATCGTCAAGTCGTGGCCGGGGAGCCGAGGTATGGTCACCTCCTTGGCGCCTTCCTTGACGGCGCCGACGAGGTGGGCCATGGCGATGGTGGAGAAGGCGCCGATGGCGTAGAACTGAACGCACGGCACGCCGAGCTCGTCGGCGAGGCCGGCGTTCCAGAAGAAGTGCGCGTCGGTGACGATGACGTCAGGGCGGAGCTCCCTGACGAGGGACTCCTGCGCCGGCCGCATCAGCGCCTCGTCGTCGGCCACCGCGTTGATGCGCCAGGCGTCCCCGGGCGCCGCCTTGGAGAGGTTCTCGACCCCCGCCGGGAGGCCGTCCACCGCCGGGAACGGGTAGGTGGCTATCGCCACCGACCCCGCGCCGGCTGGGCCGTGCCGCTCGAGCAGCGATCGAACGACGGGCACGTTCGCCGGCGTGACCGCGAGGGTGGCCTCGACGGCGTCCGGCCATGCCGCGGCGAGGCGGACGGCGAAGTCGGTGAAGGGCCCGATGTGGCTGGTGGCGAAGAACGGGATGAGCACGACGCGAAGCTTCTTGCTGCTGCCATCCGAAGCCATTTTCCTGCTCTTGGTTGGCGAAAGTGGGCGATGTCTGCAATCAGATGACGATCGAACTATTGTGGAATAGCCGCTTCTCAATCTCAGCTAGATCACTCACAGACTATATATTAATATTTGCTGAATTGATTTGATTATTTTACGATTAATTAAAGGGTAGTATTCTGATGCTGCATGCTTGCCACGTATTTTTGTCTTGCCCTCTTGTCATCGAAGATTCGTACTGTGTCGTGGCAAGAACAGATAATAGTCTGCTTTTGTTCTGTCCTTGTCTGGAAAACAATATCTCATGTTCTTTTAATGGAAAGGGGCCAAAATCTGGGAGAATCGTGGCGCTCGGGCGACAGGCGGGGCAGGTAAAATCGGACGCTCCCCCGGATGTGCACGTGCTCCTGTTCTCCACCACATGTCCTTGATCTTACCTGTCACGTGCTCCTGTTCTCCACCACATGTCCTTGATCTTATCTGTCACGTGTCTCCACTATATATATTTTGTTGTGACAAATCACTCACATATTTTGAAACCCTCTATTAACAGAATTTATTTTATTTTTTTTCTAGCAAAAATGTTTCATCTAGTGTACTAATAATGTACTAATAATGTTTTATTTGTATAGATCTAATGTTGCAGTGAACTGAAACATTCTTTTACAACAAATCACCCACGTATTATGAAAACCCTTTAATAAGGGAATACGTTTCATTTTTTTCCAAAAAAAAATGCTTCACCTAGTATACTTATAATGTTTCACTATGTATGGACCAAAGGTTGCAGTGAACTGAAACATTGTTTTCATATAAGGTGAAACAACGCCTGATTTAAACGATTGAAACATTTTCGATTTACTTAGTGAAACAAATTTCGATATACTTGGTGGAACATCGTGCAATATTTAAAAATAATTGAATAATAAGTTAAATTTTTTCCATTGGAATATATCCCTATGTGGTCTTATTTTAAAGATTTAATTGTAATGAATTTAATGGTGCAATTCGGTTATGATTTGGATAAATAATTTAAGAGAAAAAATAGTTTAAAGTAATTTGACGTCAGCTTGATGTGGGCGTCCGATTTTTCCACCCTCGAATTGGGCGCTCGACGTATAGTTGCATTTCAAAATTTGATTTATGATCGACTTAAAATAATATAAGCAGGTACACTCCGTGAGTCACGATGCGATGGTAACTGAAACTACTAATTAAAAAAGTAAGCACGCTGATCAGCTACGATCTGGGTCGCTTACCTGCTGACAATATATTTTTTTTCTATAAAACATAATGGTACCCGTCGTCCTTTCACAAATACTAGCTACTCAAAGTCGCGTGTTTGCACGACCATGAGAAACCATCTTTGTTAAAGATTAAGATTGTTTTTTTCTTTTGTAGCTAAAATGATCTTTGACCTAAATATTACTATGAAGTTGCCCATAGGTCACATACATAACCGCCATAGAATTTCTATGTTTTTTACATAAACAATTCATACTACCTTCGGTTTTTAATAGATGACATCATTAACATGTAAACACACGGTTGACTATTTGTCTTACTAAAAAAATTTACATATTTGTAGTTTATTTTTGTTGTGAGTTGTTTTATCGTTGAAAGTATTTTAAGCATGATTTATATATTATTTATTTGAAAAAAAGTTTTGAAAAAGATGAATAGTCAAATATGTATTTAAAAGTCAATGACATCATATATTAAAAACTAGAGACAATATTTGTTTCATTTGGTCCATGTGTCAAATTCATAAGTACTCAACTTATGAAATTGCCGCCAATTAAGTTCCCAAATATGTTGCTTGTTCTCTTTCATGCCTGCCAAGTGCGCGAGGAGAGGCACTAGAAGGCTCCGGAGGGATAATACATATGCTCCCTCCGTCCTTTAAAAAAGATAAACCCTAGATTTGACTGTTCATCTTATTTTAAAAAATATGAAAAAATTAAAAAGACAAGTCATGCATAAAGTATTAATCATGTTTTATCATCTAACAATAATGAAAATACTAATATAAAAAAAATTATATAAGACGGACAATCAAACATTTGACACGGAAACCTAGGGTTTGTTTTTTTATGGAGGGAGTATGTATCTGATCGGACGGTCATCATTTTATCCAATCATGCATTTGATGGCATTTGTTTTTCAGCTTACGAGGCCTAATGTGCTTATGAGAAAGATTAATTAGTTTTTCCATGACTTTAGATATTTATTACTCCCTCCGTTTCACAATGTAAGTCATTTTAGTATTGTCCATATTCATATAGATGTTAATAAATCTAGACATACATATATATCTAGATTGTCTAGATTCATTAACATCTATATAAATGTGGACAATGCTAGAATGACTTACATTACGAAACAGAGGAAGTAACTAGCAAAGTACCCGTGACTTGCAACCGATTTCAAAAGATATATCTGAGATTCTTGACTTGAAATTATATTTGTCAAATATAATTTGCAAGCAAACATAAAAAAAACAAGCAGATATATTTATCTAGCCTTAGAAAATCCCACCAACTCTAAGTGATGGGAGATTTTCATTACCATCACTGGGTTCTTTTATATAATAGAGATTAGGTAGTACAAGTGGATTGACAAAAATGATATTTCCGGGGAATCTGATGAGGAATGAGCAATCTTTTAGAAACTTGTGGATGATAACGTGAATATCCACTAACTTGGCATGATCACGTAAACAAGATGAAATTTTCAGAAGGGAAATATTAGAAACCTCTGAAGGCAACGACAGATATCAGATGCAACTTAAAAGCTTTAATTTCAAATTAGAACAAGGCCAAATTAAGCCAATATATATTGCAGGTGCAGATCTTCGTTGGAGCTGATCAACTGAAGACTGCGGTTTGCATGCACTCTGAATAAACGCTTCTCACAGTCACAAGTGACAAGAACAACACTTCTGAAGTCCCTGCAGGAGTAGTGCATCGCTCATGGCAACGGAGCGAAATTAATAGACTACTGAGGTTGCCGTGCCGGTGCAACCCCGCCGGCGGCCGCCCTTGCTTCTACCATATCGTCGATGAGCCTGCGCAGATCGTCGTACGACGAGCCGCCTTCGGCCACGGCCGCGTGAGCCTCCGCGGCGAGCTCCTGCGCTCTGATCCTCGCCGCGTCCCCTGTCCCTCCAGGCTCCAAGAACCTCGCCACGGCTCGCGCCACCGCCGCCGCCGGCACCACCGCCTTCTCTTCGTACCGCACGCTACGGGGCCCGTCCCACACCCTCTCGCCAATCCGCAGGACGTCCGTGACGAACCTTTCCGTGATGAACTGCTCGAACACCAGCGGCCATGTCAGCAACGGGACACCAGCCGTCGCACCCTCTAACATCGAGTTCCAGCCGCAGTGCGTCAAGAACGCCGCCGTCGCCGAGTGGGCAAGTATCGCCGTCTGCGGGACCCAATCTCTGACGAGCAATCCCCTGTCACCGACACGCTCCTCCCACCCCGCCGGTGGCGCCCACCCGTCAGCCGCCCTGACCGCCCAAAGGAACGGCTTGCCGGAGGCTTCCAGCCCGAGAGCCAGCTCATGGAGCTGCTCCTCCGAGACGGGAGCAAATGTGCCGAAGCATATGTACACCACCGACCGGCTCGGCTTCGAGTCCAACCAGCTGATGCACGACGGCTCGCCGACGTTGCCTACGGCCGGTGGCTTCGGAAGGCAGAGTGGGCCGACATGGTAGCCGCGCTTCGCGAAGCCGTTGCACACGAACTTCTCACAGTATGGCTTGTCCAGGAACAAGAACGAGTTGACGACGATGCCATGGCACCTGTCTTGCGACTGTTGCAACTTGCGCATGTCAAACTTGTCGAAATTCTGTTGGCGGGTCAAGAAGTCCGGCACCTCGGACCTCGGGATCTGCAGCTTCGGCCCCGGAAACCCCGCGGCGGTGAGCGACTCCGAATCGGAGCCGTTCGCGTCGGCAGCGGCGCCGGCGAGGAGGCGCATGGCGAGGATGGAGAAGAAACCGATGACGCAGAATCGGAAGCACGCCATGCCGAGGCCCTCGGCGATGTAGACGATCCAGGAGAAGTGGGAGTCCGTGATGAGGACGTCGGGGGACTGCTCCCTGATGACCGCCTCCTGCGGCGGCCGTGTCAGTGCCTCGTTGAAGGCGGCGTTGTCGATGCGCCACCCTTCGTCGCCGGCGGTGGAGAGGTTCTCGACGCCCGGAGAGAGGCCAGCCACATCCGGGAACGGATACTTGGCGATGCTGACCATGCTGCTCGCCACGGAGCCGTGCCGCTTGACGGCTGATCGGACGACCGAGACATTGGCCGGGGTCACGGCAATGGTCGGCTCGACGATGTCCGGCCTGGCCGCGGCGAGGCGGACGGCGAGGTCGGTGAAGGGGCCGATGTGGCTTGTGGCGAAGAACGGGATGAAAAGGATTCGAAGCTTCTTGCTGCGCTCAGCAGAAGCCATTCTTTTCCGCAAGCTTAGGCCCCTTTTTATTTAAAGGAAATTCATAACAATTTTAGAGGATTTCATTCCTATAGAAATTTTTTCTATATAGCGCTTTGAATCAAAGGAATGAATTTTATGGAATCCTATGAAATTTCTATGGAATGCCTAATGCCATGTAAATTTTGGAGGAATTCTAACATGAGGTAGAACCTCATGGAAACTTTCCTTTGAGTCTTTATCTCTCCTCTAATTCCTGTGTTTTTCCTGCGGTCCAATCAAACGGTCATTCCTGTGTTTTGCAATCCTCTGTTTTACACTTACATTTCTATCAAAATCCTACATTTTTTCATTCTTACGATTCAAAGACGCCCTTAGCTTTTTGTTCTTCTCTAGTTTGGAACGTTGCTGTGTTGGTTGAATGAATGCAGAATAACTACTCGGTGAACGACGTATATAATGCCCCGAATAACGTTTAAAGTTGTAATGGCCATCCACTAGGCCACTAATCCTATCTAAACAATGAAATATTCCCTTTTTTTTCTATCGATAAGCAATATACACAGTTAAACAGCGTCTTTCAAACAAAAAACAGCGTCTTTGAAGCTGTTTTACTCCTTAAAAAATCTTCCATAGAAATTTTTTCCCAACATGTGCCTATGTTTGAAATTGCTTAACATGAAGATTTTAAGTGAGGGCACATGAAACGGGAAAGTTATGATTAATTGAGTTTTAATTATTGTAAAATTGAAAAGTTAATTTATTTATATTGCAGACCAACTTTTACATAGAATTTTTTTTTACAGACCATACTGTTTTAGTAGCTTGAAAAGTGTGTCGGCTGAAATCAGATAGAATTTGTGTGGACATGTTCTGGTGGTTTAGGTTGAGTAAGAGCTTGGCAACCAAGTGTGTCGGCTAAAACTCAGATAGAATTTGTGTGGACATGTTCTGGTGGTTTAGGTTGAGTAAGAGCTTGGCAACCCTGTGTTGCACTGTGGTCTCAGTAGTTGTTTGCCGCAGGCTTTTACCCTGTCCTTTGTTTTTCTGATTGCTTTAATTAACCAAGCGACTGTGAGGATTTATGGCTGGTTTAGACCAACTCTCTTCTTCTTAAAAAAAATGAGAACTGCTTTCTTCTTAAATAAAAACGGGAACTTGTTGCAAGTCACAGGCTCGCCGCTCGCCGCACCTGAGGTCTGAGGACGGGCGGTGGCGCGGCTGATGCTTGCGGCCTCAGGCAACCACAATGTATCCAAAAAGTTAACCTTAAGCATTAAATACTGCAATAGTATAACACCTTAGCCATTGTGTGAGCACATGATAAGTTTAGTGCAACAAAAAATGATCTTAAGCTTAAGGTGCTACCACAAGGAATATAATACAATATTTTCATTGCTCTTTGCCTGTTGGGCATGGTTGGGAAGTAATTTTTTTTCTTCGGTAGGACCACCTTGTGTTTTTCCATGAGCTTAACCATTGCAGACATTGCCATAGTTATTGCTATCTTCAGCGGTTCCTACTCTTATTGTCAATTGAGTCACAAACATTGGCCTTGCCCATGACTCATCGCCACTCTCCTTTTCAGTGTTGACTTGCTGCGTGTAGTCTGCTTGACCTCCCTCGAAACTAGCTATATTTACAACTATGAATTACATATACTTATATTTGTAACTGAAAGTATCAAAACTCACGCTATAATTACATGGTAAGTTTCAATATTATGTGTCAGTGTTATGGATACCACATACCTAATAATAATTGACTAAATCTCGGCAGGACCCACCACATACTATGTCTTATACGGAAACAACCTTCGGATATAGGAGGAGTTCCGCATAAGGAAGGATAACCAAATTTCTACATGGAAACGACAAGGACTACTCGGATTGTATCCATATTGGTTTCTCTGGTTCTATTTGGACAAGGGGACACCTATGGGTATAAATACAAGGCCCCTTAGGAGGAGAGGGGACACAGACGATCAACACACAACCACCATAGAAGACACGAAACAATAAATCAAGACACAATATCAACATACGCCAAGACAAGACGCTGGATATCGACTTCGAAGATAGGCACGGCTAGTCCCCTATGGTGTCTCCGGATACTGTCAGGAGAGACGAAAGCGCTATCTTTGATCTCGCCGGGCACGAACTCGAGGAGGACCCTGTTATCGACTACGAGTCAGACCTTCAGACCGCCATGTCGACAACAGTTAAATAGGCTACTCCAAATATTGTACTGGTGTGATTATGGTGAATAAGAGTAATACCGGCTTCGGCCAACAGAATGTAGGGTTATTACCTGACAATTAAGGGGCCCGAACTTGTATAAAAATCTCTGTCCCCATATCTTTTATCTCAGTCTCGCGTATATCCTAGTTCCAACGATCCCCATAATATGCAAATACCGAAATCGCGACATCAAACGTCGACATTATGATTGTAATTTTTCTAATGCACAATGTACGAGAGAATTAGGATTCAAGTAATTTATTATCTACTTGAAATAGAAAATAGGAGAGATGAAAACATACATATACATATAAGAGACCGAGCAATCACATGGAGAAAAAAAGTGACTGAAATCCCTTAAAAAAATATAGCGTCATAATTTTAGCAAGCCGGAAACTAAAAGCTTCACGTTATATCCAAGCTAGCAAAAATTACATGTACTCAGAAAAATAGTCTTTTTCTCGATGAAGTGAGGTCAGAAATGTTCTTCGGTTAATTTGTACTCTCCATAACGTGATTTTTCCAGCAGCAGCAGAAAAAAAAAAGTTATGTATCAACAATTTTGCTATATATTTATCAATAAATTTTCGCCTAAAATTTTGACAGATACAATTACAGTACAATCTAGTATAATTATACTGATGGAGAAACCATCTTTGCCTGGTCGGCCAAAATCCACAATAGCCTCGGTTTGAATAGAAACCGGGACTAAAGATGATTTTTTTTGTCCCAGTTTAAAACTCTATTGGCCCACCAACTAGGACTATAGATCATCTTTAGTCCCGGTTCATTTACTATTAGAGGCTGTCAGGGGGCCAGGGATTTTTAGTCCCGGTTGGTGTGACCAAACGAGACTAAAAATTGATCTTTAACCCCGGTTGGTAACACCGGTACTTAAAAATCCATATACTGTATATAATTCCTATTACTTATCCTCCTAAACTCCTCATATTCCTATTCCTCCTCTCTCTCTTATCCTTTTCTTTAAAGCCGATCTTATCCTCTCCTTCCTGTCGGCAGATCGAGGAGCGAGCTAGGAGGAGTGAGCGAGCGAGGCCAGCGGAGGGCCGCGGTGGCTTGCGCACGCCGGAGCCGGGAGGGCAAGCAACCAGGCAGGGGCGGGGTCGGCGGCGGCAGGAGATTTGTTTTTTTTTTAGGATTTGTGATGAAATTGTTTTTGAGAATTTGTGATGTATTTGATCTGTGTGTGATTTGAATATATGATGTATTTGTGATGTATTTGGAGATGATTGATTTGGGGATATGGAGATGATCCTTTTTGTTATGTGATGATCGATTTGGGGATTTCACGGGATGATTTGGGATATAGTGAAATCAATATTCAAAGTTAAAAATAATGAAAAAAAGAAAAGAACGAACCTACCTTGGCTCCATCTTAATGATTTTTAATCCTGATTATTTCAAACCGGGACTAAGGGGTTACAAACTAGGATTAAAAACCCTTTATCCAGTAGTGTTACACTGTAACATGCATGCATATAACTACAGTGTAACTTATATATAACTTAATTTTCACGTAATTTTGAACCGTTATATTTGTTTCAAGACTTATAAAAGTGAGGAATAAGAAAGTCACAGCGCACACATGTGAGAGGACTCGTCCCCACAACCTCCGTTTCACCAATATTATATTACAAGATATTTTTGAAAGTTTCATAGAAGTTACATATAAGTTACAGTGTAATTATATCACAATTATACTATAATTACATCTGTCAAATTTTTTAAAAAATTATATCAACAAATATATAGGTGATCCCATGTATCAATACATCACATCGTAATTTATTTTGATTGAACGCAACAGAACGAGATGAACTGGATGGAGTCTGGAACGAATGTCTCGGTATCGTATAGAGAAACGACAGGTTACAGAGGTTGCAGCGCGGACTCGCCGGCGTCCGCCCTTGCTTCAACAAGATCGTCGATGAGCCTGCGCAGATCTCCATACGAAGAGCCACCTTCCGCCACGGCCGCATGAGCCTCCGCCGCGAAATCCTGCGCTCTGATCCTCGCCGCGTCCCCTGCCCCTCCAGGCTCCAAGAACCTCGCCACGGCCCGCGCCACCGCCGCCGCCGGCACCAGCGCCGCCTCCTTGTACCGTACACTTCGTGCTCCGTCCCACACCCTCTCCCCAATCCGCAGGACGTCCATGACCAGCCTTTCCGTGATGAACTGCTCGAACACCAGCGGCCATGTCAGCAACGGGACACCAGCCGTCACACCCTCTAACACTGAGTTCCAGCCACAGTGCGTCAAGAACGCCGCCGTCGCCGAGTGGGCAAGTATCGCCGTCTGCGGGACCCAATCTCTGACAAGCAATCCCCTGTCACCGACACGCTCCTCCCACCCCGCCGGCGGCGCCCACCCGTCGGCCGCCCTAACCGCCCAAAGGAACGGCTTACCGGAGGCTTCCAGCCCGAGAGCCAGCTCATGGAGCTGCTCCTCCGAGACGGGAGCAAATGTGCCGAAGCATATGTACACCACCGATCGGTTCGGCTTCGAGTCCAACCAGCTGATGCAAGTGGGCTCACCGACGCTAGCTACGGCCGGTGGCTGCGGAAGGCAGAGGGGACCGACGTAGTAGCCGCGCTTCGCGAAGCCGTTGCACATGAACTTCTCACAGTATGGCTTGTCCAGGAACAAGAACGAGTTGACGGCGAAGCCATGGCACCTCGTGTTCACTTGTACCAACTTGCGCATATTGTCCACTAAGTCGAGATTCCGATGAGCGGTCAAGAAATCCGGCAACTCTGACCTCGGGATCCGTAGCTCCGGCCCCGGAAACCCTGCGACGGTGAGCTCCTCCGAATCGGAGTCATTCACGACGGCAGCGGCAAGGTATACGGCGAGCGTGGAGAATAAACCGATGACGTTGAGTTGAACGCAGGGCATGGCGAGTTCCTCGGCGATGCCGACGTTCCACGAGAAGTGGAAGTCTGTGATGAGGACGTCGGGAGATTGGTCCTTGATGAGCGCCTCCTGTGCTGGCCATGTCATCGCCTCGTCGAAGGCAGCGGCGTCAACGCGCCACCTTTCGTCGCCGGCGGTGGAGAGGTTCTCGACGCCCGGTGGGAGGCCGGCCGCTTCCGGGAACGGATACGTGGCGATGCTGACCACGGTGCTCGCCGCAGAGCCATGCAGCCTGAGGGCTGATCGGACGACCGAGACGTTGGCCGGGGTGACGGCGAGAGTGGGCTCGACGACATCCGGTCTGGCCGCGGCGAGGCGGACGGCGAGGTCGGTGCAGGGGCCGATGTGGCTTGTGGCGAAGAAGGGCATGAGCAGGACCCTCAGCTTCTTGCTGCGCTCGGCAGAAGCCATTCTTCTCCGCAAGCCTTCTGCTCTTCTCTAGCCTGGAGTTGGAGCGTTGATGTGTCTAGTGAGGATTGAGGAATTGATGGATTTCTGCACAAGAATCCAATCGGCGGTGGGGAAGGAGGCGCGCACGCGAGCGGCACTCGACCCGGCGCGACGGCGGCCAGGGAGGCGGAGAGTGGTGCTGGTGATGCAGGAGGTGAGCGGGCTCGATTGGAGGCGATGCAACGGCGGATCTCGGCGTGTCGATGTGGTGGCGAGGGCGGAAAAGCAAGAAGTCGCGGCCCCGAGATGCTCGATCGTGTGATGGTGGAGAACTGGAGATGGGTTTGGTGGGGGAAAGGAGGAGGCCGATGACGATGAAAAAGGGGCACAGGATGTTACAGGAGGAGGACTGTGGTGGTGGTGGGGAGGATGGACGCGGCGCACCACTTTCTGCGTCGAGCTCCGGTGGCGCGGCATGGCGGCGCGGTGGACTGGGTGCAGCAGCGGAAGGCGCGCGCGGGAGATGAGGAAAAGTAAACGGGCGGCAGCAGGCGACGTGGCGCGCGACAGGGAGTGGATGGTTGGCGCGACTCGGCGTCATCGCGGTCGCGGGGCCGGTGCGCCGGGCGGGTACAAGCGAAACGCTGCTCGGGTGACGCGATCTACGTACAGCTGGCGCTGTACGTGCGGTGGTTGGTACGGGGAAGCGACGAAGTCGTCGTTGTGAGGTCTGCTTGGCACTACAGCACGGCTGAGATTTCAAGGGGCAGCGGAAAGGGGGGCGCGTTGTCCACGGCTTGTCGCGGGACGGCGCACTGGCGAGCTCGGTGCGGCAGGGAGGGAGGGCGGGTTAGGGTTGCGCGCGCGAGCGCGAGGTGCGGCGAGGCCGGCCGACGCACCAGGTCCAGGTGCGTCCTGGGAATTTTTTTCGGTTTTAGATTTTTTTTTAATATTTACAGAAATAATCTATCGGCCAAAAAAATTATAAAAATAGACCCTGCCGCCCACCTCTGAGGCGGCAAGCTGACGTGGCAAACGGGGGATTATATTTTTTAAAAATAGTGTGTATTTTTTAAAAATTTGTTTGAATAAATGCATTATATTTTTAGGGTTTTAGTTGTACTAATCTAGAAGTGCGTATTATAGATATCGGTAACTACGTAGATCTGCTAGTTTGGAATCAATACATTACCGTTGCATTGGCTTACACAAGAAGATATTACGTTGTAGATGTTTATTGCATGAAAGAGTAATATGATCTAGTTATTTCGTTGACAGATATGTCGAACAAACAAATATTCCAAGTTTACCATGGACCACGAAACGTCTGTTACGGGCCAACTGGGGTAGATCTGTCAGATTTTATTGTATCAGAAAGGGGAATTGATAGACCGGCTGAGAGGAGTGTACCTTCTATAAAAGGATGGTTAATGAGGGGCTTGAGAGTTGATCCACAGACAAGTGACATAACAATCAATGTTATAGTAAGTCGGGCAACTGAGGGTTTTTATTGGGAACTAATGCCAGTTCAAAACTCCCGAGTGTGGAGATGGTATTTGGAAAATGCATTGCAACGCGGGTGGCCTCTAGCTTTGGTTCCGTTTGTTCACCCGAAGGATCCAGGTGTGCAGATGAACATGGATGATGGCGAGGGACCAAGTGCTGAAGTAAACGAGACTTCTGTGGAGGAGGTCAACGCACGAGAGGACGGGGGCGTAGTTGCTCCAGTGGGCATTCAACCAGGTGGAGTGGCCGACGAGGGGGAGACTGTCGGTGCCATTGTGGATGAAATGGAGAGGGAGGATTCTGACAACGAGCGTGTAAAGGAAGGTGATTCGTCAGATGATGAGACGGATATTAATCCAGCAGAATGGGCTAGTGAGGATTTTTCTGGACTGATCGTCTCTGAATAGGATAGTGTGAGATGGGAGTACAAAGAAAATGAGGTTATTCAGGGAGCGATTTATAGCAGAGCAGAAGATATGAAGGAGGCGGTAAAACATTTTGCAGTGTCACTTCATAAAGAGTTTAGGGTTGCCAAGTCGAACCGGTCGCAATATGAAGTTCGGTGTGTTAAGGAAAAAGATGGTTGTCCCTGGAGAGTGCACGCGTATAAGGGGAAATGGAAGGATTATTGGACAGTGTCAGTTGTTACCAAGCATACATGTTTTCTACCTGGTGTTCAGAAATACCACAGGAACATTACATGTGCATTTGTTGCATCTGAGATGTATGCGCATGTCATCGATAATCTCACATATGAACCAAGGTCAATAATCCGACACATCGAGGAGACATACAAGTATACTATTAGCTATGCCAAGGCCTGGAGGGCCAAATAGAAAATAATAGAGATGAGATTTGGAACTTACGAAGCCTTGTATGACAATTTGCCATGCCTGCTTGGTGTTATCGAGGAAAGAAACCCTGGGAGCTCTTACGAAGTGAAGAAATTCCCCTCAATTGAACATCCTGGCAAGAGTGTGCTGCAAAGGGCGTTCTTAGCTCTACATGCATGCAAGATGGCATTCGTGAACTGTCGTCCTGTTCTCTGCATTGATGGGACATTCTTGACATTCTCTGCATTGATGGGACGTTCCGGGCACGGACGTGCGGTGAGCTACTCACGGTTCACGACTCCTTTGTCGAGAGGTACGAACAGTGTTTTACTATAAGTTAGTTGCACTGTAATATTTTTTATAATGACATATTAATTTGTTATTGCAGGCTACGTGAGGCCGGCCTCCTACCGATGTGTCGGCTGGTGGAGGCTGCGGCCGGCGACGCGGACCCGGCCAGACGATGGACTGTGGACAGGTCCCTCGTAGCAGCTTTGGTCGATCGATGGAGGCCAGAGACGCACACTTTTCACTTGCCGTGCGGTGAGGTAGCCCCTACCCTACAGGACGTATCGTACTTGTTGGGGCTACCGCTCGCGGGAGACGCTGTTGGGCCAGTGACCACGGCTGTGGACTGGCAGGACGATCTGACGGCACGTTTCGCACTAGTACAGCGCGCACCGCACCTCCCGCTCGAGCCGTTGGCACACCACCGCAACACCGGACCTACGAAGAGGTGGCTGCTTCAGTTCACCGTGAGTGTTTTTGTACCGAAATGACAATCGTATTACATATTTAGTCCGCAGTTAAGGTGCCTAACATTTTATCGACTGCTTGCAGGTTGAGCAGCTACAGGCGGAGGCCGACGAGTACTCGTACAGCCGATGTTTGGAGGCGTACTTGCTCTGGCTTTTTGGCTGGGTGATGTTCTGTGGCGGTCATGGGCACGCGGTCGACAAGGGACTCGTGCACTACGCCAGGAGCATCGCCGACGCCGCGGTAGGCGAGGTGCCTCAGTGGAGTTGGGGTTCCGCGTTGTTGGCGGCTCTGTACCGTGCACTTTGTGAGTCTTGCACGAAGACGGATCCCAGCGCGACCTTTGGTGGGTGCCCTCTCTTTCTTTCTATCTGGGCAGCTGAGAGGATTGCGATCGGCCGCCCTGAGGTGGACCAGCACGCGTACGAGGAGTCACTGTATGAGGAGCTCGATGCGCTCGATTCTCCGAGTGCTCACCTGTCGTGCAGACGACGTTGCTCGGGCAGACGCAGCTGTACAGCGGCCACCCGTACCGACTGGTCCCCGTCCAGCTGCGCAAGTTCCTAGGCCGACTCCTCCTCCGCACGGAGGTAAGTATTTTTATTACTACTTCTGTACATGCCTCGCACATATAAGTGAGCCGTTTCACTTGCCGATTGCTTCAGGGTTTCGTGCACCGTTCAGCACCCTGCCTTCCTCGGCTAGGCCTTCTGTTGTGCCCCCCACAGGTACTTAAAAAAACAACATTACTTCCACAATCAATTTACATACATTTTATGTCTTAGCTTACAAGGGTCCCGTTGTCGATGTGTAGGTTTCGCCCAGTTCGCTATGACGCAGGCCGCCCACTTCTCCCAGGCTGCAGGGTCAGCGTCACAGGCAGCCGGCACGTCGAGTCAGGGTCCACCACTGGACCATGCTGGGACCTCGTCGGACCCCTTCCTGTCTTCCACCGTGCTCTTCGACATCACTGACTTCGACTTCGCTTCAGACTCGACAGAGGACGTCATCGGCCCCTCACAGCTGGGAGGCGCACCGCCGGTGCAGACGCAGGTCCAGGCGCAGGCCACTCCTCCGCGGGACACTCGTGCTACCCGTGCTGTGCCACCGGATCGTTTCACCTACTCCTAGGACCACGTGCGAGCACAGGCCCGGAGGACCAAGCGTGGTCGCGGCGCGGGGCAGGGCCAGCAGAGCAGTCTTCTTTTTGTTTACTTGCTTCACTTTCCAGTACTGTATGCTTGTGTAATGACTACGTTGTTGTTATATGTGCACGATACCTTTCGGCGCATGCACGATACCTTTCGGCGCATGCACGACTACTTTCTGCCGCACCGATGCAGCCTCCTTTATTCGCGTGTGATACGAGTATTTGCCCGCCATTTGGCGCATACGACCAATGTAACTTTCGGTGCCGATCATGCATGTATCTTTCGGCACCAATCAGGCGTACCCACCATACCCCACCACGTTCACATGTCAGGGGTATCACTCGATTTTTTGCGCCTATATAAGTCGCCTTAACGAGTGAGGCCTCACAATCTTTCAGAACTCAGTCACATTCAGTACTCTCTTCCCCACTTGCTTCATTACAAATCCGACCGGCTTTCGTCAATGGCTAGACGCCGGGGTGTTGAGGATCCAAACTGGCGTAGCGATCCTTGTGTATACCTACTACCACCTTGGTGCCAGCGTCCTCTCTGCCTATGCGGTGATCGATGCCAACTAATGGCTTCGAGGAATCCTGATATTCGAGGAAGGCGCTTTTTTAGGTGCCCTAACTATGACCGTGAGGTATTTTATTATCTGCATATGCTTATTCATTCCGTATGGGCAATCGCTTTATTCTTCGTAACACTACTCTATTCAGCAGACCCGCACTACGGCTTGCGCATACATCGAGTGGGTCGATACAGAAAATCCCGTTCTCGACCTAACCACTTGTTTACAAGAAGGTCGCTGGTATTTCGCATCCGAAAGTACTGAGCAATACTTACAGAGAAAAGCGGCTTATGAACGACAATGTCGTGAACAACAGAGCGACTGGCGGGTGCTAACTACGGCACTCCCTCCATGGAAAGCCCGTCCAAGATGTAGGTGTGGTGATCGTTGTCAGGTTCTTCGTTCCATAAATCCTACAACATTGGGTCGAAGGTTCTTTGTTTGTCCAAATATTCTTGACGACGATTTCATGGTAAGAATATTTTAATTACATGATTCCTTATTTTCTCACAACATTTACTAACTTTGCTTGCTTTACATCTATTCTTTCCTCCCAGGAACCACCAAGGAGATGTCAATACAGAGAATGGATAGACACCAGAAGGGTTCTAACTCCACCTAGCTGTGTTGTGCAGCTTGAACTACCAGAGCAATACAGGGTTACTAAAGCGCGGTTTGAGAGAGGAGAGGGATCCTCACGTAGGGGTTAGCTATTATCGGACAACTTGGCATATTGAAATTTCTACTGTCATGCTTCCTTGTCCCATTACTACATCGTCGTTGTGTTCAACTATTGCACTACCTCCCTCCTAGTTCGAATCTAATATCATCTATGTAACCGCAATGCAAATAGTTGTATCATGTTCAAATTGTACTACTATTTCTTCATGTTACATAATTCTCCTTGTTTAAGTCCATATAATGTTTCTACGACCTAGACTGCGATAGGCCTATATAAATTATCCGAGTACTAATACGTCAAATAAGGTACAAAATAATACCTCACTTAACATATGAAATTGCGCAACAACCAACTTCAATACATTTTTATAACAATATTAACAAGTTTTACCAATAAATACTTCTTTATTTATTATTAACATAACATAGAAAAATCTTTTGGCCGTACTTTTTTCATCTGGGTCCCTTGCCGCCCCCAGATGAAAAAGTACGGCCACAAGCTCTGAATGGGCGGCCAAAATTGTAATTAGCCCCTTGCCGCCCTCTGTATGGGCGACAAGGGCCTAATCGCAATTTTGGCCGACGGCGGCAGACGGCGCGGTCGACCCATCGTCTGCCACGTCAGCTTGCCGCCCACCATTTGGGCGGCAGGTGCTATTTCTGTAATTTTTTTGGTCGATAGATTATTTCTGTAAATATTAAAAAAAAAATCTAAAAACGAAAAAAATTCGCGTCCTGGTTGGTTGGCTGGCTGGCGAGGCTGGTCGAGTTGGGACAGATGGGCCGAAGAAGAGGAAACAAAGATGGTCCGGGAAGAATAGCTGGTTTGGGCTAGCTGGTAGAGAGGAAGACAAACAGGCCGATTGGCCTGGGCCTGCTGCTTCGGTGGAAAAGAAGAAGGAATAAGTTCACTTGAGTTCCCTTAACTTGTCAACCAATCCGATTTTCGTCCTTCAACGGTAAAACCAGATACAACGGGTCCCTCAATTACAAAACCGGTGCAATATAGGTCCCATGGCGGTTTGCACGCCGGTTTTAACTGACGTGGCGCCTACGTGATTAGTTTGACTTAGTCTTTCTCCCACATGATATTGACGTCGCGCTTATGTGGCAACTTGATATGGAAAATAATAATAATAATCGTGGGCCCACATGTTAGTTACAATAAAAATGTTTTTTAAAATGGTGGGGCCTACATGGGCCCCACGTGTCATTCTCATTCCCTCCTCTTCTCTCTCCTCTCTCTCAGGCGTTCTTCCTCCGGCTACAAGTCCGCACGGCTTCTTCTACGGCGACTTCGGCGCATGCACAATGAGAAGGGCAATCTGGTGGCGGAGCAGGTGTTTGATGAGTCGGCGTTGCTCGCATCCCGCCTCCGGCAGCACTAGATCGATGGGGCTGGTGGTGGCGGCGGCGGCGGGGAAGGGGGAGACAAGCCGATGATGATGCAACTAAGCGACCTGCACCGACAAGCCGCCGCCGGCGGTGGCATCGAGGAGGACGGGAGCGACGCATTCTCACCTCTGTCACTGTTCACAGACCGGAAGAACGTGCCGCCGTGGGAGGAGATGGAGGGTGACTTCAAGTCGCCCAATGTTGCCGTCGTGTGTGCTCCCACGTTCTCGGAAACACTCGTCTCCTTCATTACCATCTTCTTCTTCTTCTCGGGCAAGTACCTCTGAAAAATGCTTCTGAATCCGCCTTCTCCGAGATTATCACAGAAATTCTCCGTTGCCTTCTTCTTTTGAACGACTCGCACGAGACGGTGCGAAGTTCTATTGATAGAGCAGGAAAAAATTACAAGATTACAACCCTGAAGGGTCGTAACCAGCAAAAAGGAAAAAATATACTACCACCCACACACCGACAACGCCAACACACAAGCCTGGGAAAAGGCAAGCACCGGACCGGCCGCTGCTAAGCGTGACCGATCGCTGCTAGACCAACAAAGAAACACAGACGAGATCGCCCCCTAGGGGATGTCAAAACGACGTCTTCAAGAAGAGAAGCGACGGAAGAACCGCCGCCGCCATCCGTCAGGGCTCAAAGGAGCAAGACTGGGCTTTTTGCCCGGCAACCACCCTTGAGGGATGAGACAGCACAACAACGCCCTCAGGAGGGGGAATCATCGTTGCCAGTCCGGCCAAGGCCGGGCTGGGTTTTCACCCGCTGCTCACCACCTGCAAATCCATGGGTGGTGCCCCGATGCTCCACCACCACTCAAGCTCTGCCAACATGTGGGACCCCTGCATTGGCGCCCCCCCGCCGGCCAGCCTTCGTGCGCCGAAGACCGCGCCACAACCACCAGTAGCTCCTTCTCACACCAAGGTCGCCTCCTCCATCGCCGGCCGCGCCTCTCGCGCCAAGCCGGCCTCCATCTCCGCCAGCCGCGCCTCTCACGCCGAGCCGGCCTCCGCTACCATCAGCTGCGCCTCTCTGCGCCAAGCTGGTCTCCGACCCCTCCTCCAAACGATGCCACACCAGTCAGAAGTAGCCGTCTGCCACGCCCTTGGCTAGCCGACCGAAGTCGTCATGCCTTCGGTGACCGCAGTCACGGTCACCACCGCTGCTGCCGAACGCCCGTCGCCATCCACACCTTGCACCCGACTCCTTCCCCGCCTCCACTTGCTGTCGCCGGCGATGCCGTTGCCGCATCCGGCGACATCACCACCGCCTCACAGTCACGACCGCCGCAAGCCGGCCGCCGTCGCCGCTGCCGCTATCACCAGCCGTCGTCTCCGCAAACCGCCGCCATCGCCAAAGCAGCCGCTACATCGTTGCCTTTCGCCACCAAAGCAGCCAGCAAACCGGCCCTACGCCGCCGCCTTGTCCTCCGCCGCCGCCGCTAGCTGCCGCAGCCACCACCGCCAGCCACCCTCCAGATCCAGCCGAGTCGCACGGATCTGGAGGACACCGCCGCCGTCGTCACCGAGCACCGCGCCGCCACGACCACCACCAGGCGCCGCCGTCGCCTCCTTCGCTCCCACGACCAAACCACTGCCACCAGCCGTCACCCCGCCGCCACCAGTGCCACCGTGCCGGCCTCCGCCTGCCATGCACCGCCGCCACCACGCCACGCACTGCCGCCACTGTGCCGTGCCGGGTTTCGCCGTCGCTGGCCGAGCTGCCCCGCCAATGCTGCGCCAGCCGAAGCTGCCGCCGTCGCACGGGCTCCGCGCACGCCTCCACGCGGAGTCGGCCTCGCCCGTCGCCGCACCACCGGGCACCGCCCACGCCGTCGCCACTCCGTTGCCTTCTTGATCTTGATCTGTGCATATGAGTAGGCAACCAAAGATCATTCTACGACGAATTTACTCGAACCAAACAAGTCTCTCCTGTACCTGCATAGAAGCAACACTGCAAACATTGCAGAAGCTACAGCTATTGATCCAACCACCAAGAGGACACATCTTGTGGTCAATCCCCTCTTGCTCCTGAGCTTGGAACCCAACATAGATCTTGCTGTATGGAGGTTTATTAGCTGAGCTCAGATTGTACAGGTCGTAATACAGAGCTTGCACATCCAGATTCACTTGAGTATGCAATGCAGTAGCATTTGTTCAGGCAAGCTTCTCTGCAATCTTCATCGGTGTCACCTGGCTCGTCCCGAGCGTTGTAAGAGAACCCTTGGAGATTGTCAAGAATGGCGAAGAATAGCTGTTCAAATCATCCACAATTTCTTTTCTTCAAAAAGAGAAGAAAAGATTACCCAACCCATTTCTTATCAGATTTCCCAAACTACTAAAGCGTAGTTTGGATAAAGGATGTTTAACATTAATTTAAAGTATTAAACATATACTAATTATAAAATAAATTACATAGATGGAGGCTAATTCGCGAGACGAATCTATTAAGCCTAATTAGTACATGATTTGATAATGTTGTGCTACAGTAAATATGTGTTAAAAATGGATTAATTTGGCTTAATAGATTCATCTCGCAAATTAGCATCTATCTATGTAATTAGTTTTATAGTTAGCTTATATTTAATATTATAAATTAATATCAAATATCCGATGTAACATAGACTAAAGTTTAGTCCCTATATCCAAACTACCCCTAAAAGCTTCAAATTACAAACCAAGTCAATATACTGATTTCATTGAACTGAACTGAAGAAGTGTTCTGCGGTTTGCACTCTGAATAAACGTTTCTCAAAGTCACAACAAGGCCTGCATCAGTGCATCATGACAACTGAGCGAAATGAACTGGGAGCCTGCAACAGTGGAATGACTCGACATCGTACAGACGAACGCATTGGCATTATAGGCTACTGAGGTTGCGGTGCAGCCGCAGCCTCGCCGCCGGCCGCCCTTGCTTCGACCATATCGTCGACGAGCCTGCGCAGATCGCGGTACGAGGACCCGCCTTCGGCCACGGCCGCGTGAGCCTCGGCGGCGAGCTCCTGCGCTCTGAGCCTCGCCGCGTCCCCTGCCCCACCAGGCTCCAAGAACCTCGCCACGGCTCGCGCCACCGCCGCCGCCGGCACCACCATCGCCTCCTCGTGCCGCACGCTCCGTGGCCCGTCCCACACCCTCTCGCCAATCCTCAGGACGTCGGTGACCAGCCTTTCCTCGATGAACTGGTCGAACACCAGCGGCCACGTCAGCAGCGGGACGCCGGCCGCCACGGCCTCCAGCAGCGAGCTCGACCCGCAGTGCGTCAGGAACGCCGCCGTCGCCGGGTGAGAAAGTATCGCCGTTTGTGGGACCCACCCTCTGACCAGCACCCCCCTCTCACCAACGCGCTCCTCCCACCCCGCCGGCGGCGACCACCCGTCGGCCCTGACCGCCCACAGGAACGGCTCGCCGGAGGCTTCCAGCCCGAGAGCCAGCTCCTCGAGCTGCTCCTCCGAGACGGGAGCAAACGTGCCGAAGCATACGTACAGCACTGACCGGCTCGGCTTGGAGTCCAACCAACCGATGCACGATGCCTCACCGGCGTTAGCTTCGGCCGGTGGCTGCGGCAACGAGAGTGGCCCGACCAAGTAGACGCGCTTTGCGAGGCCGTCGCGCAAGAATCTCTCACGGTACGGCTGCTCCATGCCCAAGAACGCGTTCACGGCGAGACCATGGCACATCCTTTGCCCCTGGGGAATCTTGTTCGGGTCGATTCCGTCGAGGTTCCCTTGCCGGATCAAGAAATCCGGCAACTCGGACTTGGGGAACCGTAGCTCCGCCCCTGGAAACCCCGCGAGAGTCAACTCCGCCGAATCGGAGTCGTCGTTCGCGGCGGCGGCGGTGACGAAGCGCATGGCGAGCCCGGAGAATAAACCGATGACGCTGAACGAAACGCAGGGCACGCCGAGTTCCTCGGCGAGGCCAGCGTTCCAGAAGAAGTGGGCGTCCGTGATGAGGGCGTCAGGAGATTGGCCCGAGATGAGCGCCTCCTGCGCCGGCCGTGTCAGCGCCTCGTTGGTGGCAGCGACGTCGATCCGCCACCCATCGGCGCCGGCAGTGGAGAGGTTCTCGACGCCCCGAGGGAGGCCGGCCACTTCCGGGAACGGATAGGTGGCGATGCTGACCACGCTGGTCGCCGCTGAGCCATGCCGCTCGAGGGCTGATCGGACGACGGAGACATTGGCCGGGGTCACGGCGATGGTGGGCTCGACGGCGTCCGGTCTGGCGGTGACGAGGCGGACGGCGAGGTCGGTGAAGGGGCCGATGTGACTGGTGGCGAAGAATGGGATGAGCAGGACGCGAAGCTTCTTGCTGCGGTCAGTAGAAGCCATTGCTTTCTGCGACTCTCCTCTTTGGAAATTGGAATGATGATGTGTTTGATTTCTTCAAGCTTTCCTACTCTTCTCTTGACACTCTAGTTGGTGTTGGTTAGAGTAAATATCAGCGGGACCAATATTGATGATGTGTCGAATTAATGGCCTGTCTGAATTCCATGAATGGATAACAGAGAAGCAGAAAAAAATACATGATTCTAACATACTCTCTCCGTAAAAAAAAAAAAAAGACAAATAGTGAATTTTCGTGTCCAACATTTAACTGTCCGACTTATATAATTTTTTTTTATAATTAGTATTTTCATTATTGTTAGATGATAAAACATGATTAATACTTTATAAGTGATTTATCTTTTTTAGTTTTTTTCATAGTTTTTATAAATAAGACGGACGGTCAAACGTTGGACACGGAAACTCAGGGTTTGTCTTTTTTTGACGGAGAAAATAAGTATAACGGTAAAACAAATCTACATGCAATTAAGTTAGATATTCTTTCAATCCTTTATATCAAAAAAGGTCAAATATAAAAATTCTATAAGATTTAAATCCTACAAAATTTATACATTAATCCTTTGTTTTAAAAGGTTCTCAATAAAACTTGAAAAAAAACGAATGCATCATTTAAATAACTTTATTTCAACCATAACCGGCATGCTAGACATGTGTAGTATTGATTATTGGGCACAGTCGGATCTTGGTCGATGATATCTACCACTGACATACAGCATTTCTTTTTTACCACCGACGCAGAGGCACTCCTCTTTTCATTTCACTCCTCTTTTCATTTCTTTTCTCCCATAGAACGATAAATTATTTTATAATGCTCTTTACATACTATCTTTGTTTTTTCAATAGATGATCTTATTTTAAAATTTTGAGTAAATTACATCTACAATACGTAAACTTGGGGTAGGTGGGTGTAATCTAGTGCAAAAATTTAAAAACTGAGTATATAAGGGAACAACTTGGCTAGTGCGTGCATTTTGGCTAAATATCAATATTGCACACCATACTTTTTATGCCATATAAAAAAAGCAGCCACTCATGCCAGCCATCTTGACAAGGATTTAGATGTATTATATATTGCTTTATCTGTTAGTTGTAACAATAAAATAATCTATCTATTTGAAACCAAAAGATATATGATTATCAAAAATAAGTGCATGCAAATAACATAATTTTCGAGCGACTCGCCTAATCAACATATTCATTGTATTGGGTTATGAACATGGCAAAACACGAAATTGAATTCATGAGCCAAAACCTAGCAGTTAAGATTAATCAAAGATATATATTTATGTTTTTGATTAAAATGCACGTGATTGTCAAGTTTATATACCAGTCTACTCGTTTTTCTTCAAGTTATTATACTATATCGCACGTATCTACCAAATTCTTTGTACCGTGGGTACAATTTACTCTAAAAATTTACTTTACAAAATATTAACGTTGATCAGTTTATTATTGTTGTACATGTTTAACGTTAACGTCGTAATTAAATGACACAAACCGACCCTGAATTCCATCGCCCGGTCATCCGGTTCCGGCCCGATGAAGCAATAAAAAAGACAAAACTGGCTGCGCCGTAGTTATCACTGACTCGGAGTCCAGTGTACCGAACGGACGGGCCAGATCCCTTCTACGATACGACGAAACAAATCCAGACCGTACATCGCCCCACCTCCTCCCCCAAGTCCACTCCATCTCCGGCCCGCACGACGAACTCTTCCTCTTCATCAAAAAAAAAAAAAAATCCCTCTCAAAAAAAAAATTTCGACGCCCGCCGCCGCATGATTCGCGCTCCTCGTCGCCTCCTCCCAGACTCGTCGTCGCCGCCGATCCACCGCCGCCGCCTCCCGCTTCCGCCTCTCTTCCGCCGCCGCCTGTCGCCGCTCCAGGCCTCACTGGTCCAGGCCCTGCTGTGCACTGGCCCGATCCGAGGCGGCCGCGGCCTCACACCGCTCGGTCTGCTCATGGATCCGGCCGCCGACGGCGAGGGCGGGGGCTACGAGGACGCGTCGGAGTTCGCCGACGCGGAGACGGGCGGGGGAGAGGTGGTGCGGGGGGAGGGGGAGGGGGAGAGGGAGAGGAAGGAGCTGCCCGAGGAGCTCGCCAAGGGGGTGGTGTGCCTCGAGTGCGAGACGTCGCCCGAGGCGGAGGCGGCGGGGGCGGGCGGGACCTGCCGCGTCTACGTCGTCGGCACCGCCCATGTTTCACAGGTGAATTGGCCTCCTCGTCAGCTCGATATATGATGTAGCCTCGAACTTTTTGGAGAACACCTAGGGGACGATCTGGTCTCGATTTATTTGGATTGCGGGTTCGCATTAGTCCAAATTTTAAGTTTTCACTAGTAACTTAGTTCAAATTTCGTTAGTAACTTATTTAGGAAGTGAAGAACTTGCAGGGTTGAGATTACCAGTGAAAAAAAAGAAAAAACTGGAGAGCGAAACACAGCAAACATGTAGGGCCTGTTTGGTAGAGCTCCAACTCATAAATTTAACTCCAGGAGTTGGGTCTGGAGTAGAGTTGTGGAGCTGCCTAAACCAGGTTCTACATCTCTAGTTCATTTTGTGAGAGCGCTCCACCTAGCCCCGCTCCCATTTTAGGTGGAACTAAAACTGTTTGGCTGAGCTCCAACTCTAGAAGAGAGGTGGAGCTGAAGCTGAAGCTGTGCCAAACAGGCTCGTAAAATCCTCATGAACACGAACTGTACCAACAAAAGACTACCCTTTTTTCCTTTATAGTAATTTATATAGACGTGTATTTGTAGTGGTAGTGGTAGCGCTATGACCGATGCAAATTTAGTTAACTGTTGTTGTGTCCTGTACTTTCAACTTATATGCATCAAAGTCGCGCTTACTATGATTATACTGTGGATTGAATATTCGTATGTTGATTCACTTTGTAGGAATCATGTGACCAAGTAAAAGCCGTCATCGACTACCTGAAACCTCAGGTTCTTCCTCTTTTTACTCATCACCGATAATTTACCAGTTGGTGAATCATTTGGCAGGTTGGCTGCCTTCTTGTGGAGTGCTTATTGATAATTGATCCGGAACACCTTATACTAATTATTTTAACACCTCTTTAACAAATGTAGGCTGTTTTCTTGGAGCTCTGTGCCAGCAGAGTCGCCATTCTGACACCACAAAACCTTCAGGTATGATCATGCAGAATTTACTTCATTTTGGGTTGTCATGTTTGTTACCTATGTACATTGCACGAGGAAGGGAACACTTTCCTCTTTTTTTTGTTTGAGGTTATTGTACATGTAAAAACTGAATGAATTATGAACCATGAGAATACACTATGAGAGTGCTGAAGTCTATTGTCGTCTGAATTTTGTCTGTTATCTTCCCTCAAATAGTGAATACAAACTATTTAGAGTGATAATGTGGTTCTATACTTCATGGAATTAAGCTCAACTGGGAAAAGATATCTCTTGTGGATATATCTCTTACAACACTGGTTAAGATTTATTTACGCGAGAGAATTAGAAGTTGGAATTATGGCAGTGGCATTGTATTGCATTTTCGTATTGGCAATTGGCATGGATGGCCATGCCAAAGACTATCTGATCAATCATAAATAGGAGCCAGTGCTGACATGCCTTCTATCAGTATTTGATTAAGTGCATATAACTTATAGCACTATGCTAGTGTGTAGCAACAGACTTTAGCCTTATTAATGGTTTGCAGCCATCATTGACATAAGTGTTCGAGATGTTATATCTACTCGTAGTTAACTTGTTTTATCATTCTGTTATCATCATAGGTTCCTACCATGAACGAAATGATTGACATGTGGAAGAAAAAGAAGATGAACACTTTTGGAATACTCTACAGCTGGTTTCTTGCAAAGGTATGCCTTGATGCTTGTTTTGCAGTTCGTACTTATTGTTAGGTAAGTTTTTTTTTAAAAAAAATTTACATGGTGGGCTATGTTTTTGGCATCCAAGGTTGCTAGCCAACTTGATGTGTTACCTGGGGCCGAATTCCGAGTGGCATTTGAGGAAGCAATGAGTTATGGCGGCAAAGTTATCCTTGGAGATCGCCCTGTCCAGGTATGCAACCTACTTATCTAGTGGTTGAATTTGGTTGTCTATAACCTCCATACAGGTTATAGATAGATGCAAGAAGAAGAAGGGAGAGGATATTCATAACAGCTGACTGGCTGTGCCAATTTAAGGTTCATACGTGGATAAATGTGATAAACTTTTAGTGTGGATTTTTTTGTGAACCTAGTACAAACAAATGATAACAGTTTATTATGTTACCTCAAGTTAAGCAACCACGTATTCATGCTATTGACTTTTTCACTTGTCATTATTTTGAATTGTGATGAGATATTTTTATCATAATGGTGCATCTTTTGACATGACATCTGGAAAAAAACTACATATTTTTCAAATGTTCATCACATCTGGCTGATTGGATGGAATAAAAGATAGTTGCCACTGTTTGCTTGCGTCTTAATCTTTTGCTATATGATATGGACTAATGAGGTTAGATATTTTGTTATTTAACTCAAAAGTTGAGATGTACTCCATATCTTGTTACAATGATCTCTATCATATAGAAGATTTGATTAATAGAATATGAATCTTGATATCGTTAGAACTTTCTACAGAATAAACAATAGTTTGGTCAGTACTTATATTTCATTAGCAGTGGTGCCATCTTATCATCGTCTTTATCTGTTTCGAAGATCACTTTGAGAAGGACTTGGGGGAGAATGTCATTATGGCACAGGGCAAAGTTTTTGTACTACATTGTTTTCCAGTCCATATTTTTACCAAGCCCGGAGGAACTTAATAAAATGGTATGATGTCTTCCTGGATGACTTGAAATGTACAGTTCTAGTGTGTGATTTCATATAACTCAATATACTTTCTAGACTTTAGTATAGATAGACAATTAACCAGACTTTACTCCATTTGCATAGCAATGACAATGCTTGTCTATACAGCTGAAGGACATGGAGGATGTTGACATGCTAACACTTGTTATTCAAGAGATGAGTAAGGCATTTCCTACCTTGATGGAGACACTCCTACATGAACGTGATATGTGAGTTACTTAAAAAAGTTTGTGTTGATATTCTCGATTACCACCACAATCTTTTGTGCTTGAATTATTGAAATTGTGTTTGCAGGTATATGTCCTCCAAATTATTGAAGGTAGCAAAGGAACATTCCTCGGTGGTGGCAGTTGTAGGAAAAGGGCATGTTTCTGGAATAAAGAAAAATTGGGAACAACCAATCGAGGTTAGATATTTTTAAACAGTGATATGCTTCGTACCAATAGGAAATCCATCATCCATCTAGGTAGTTATTCAACAGAAAAGTTCTGCAGGTTTTAATTTTATATGCACCATTTTTTCAACTTTTCCTGCAGATAGAAAGTTTACTGGTATTACCAGTGACTAAGCAAGGTGCTTCAAAGATGAAAATTTTGGCATCCATTGGAGCATTAGGTGGTGTAGTAATAGCAACCGGAATCTACATATGGAGTAGAAAATAACAGTGTCAATCCATTAATTCTCTGTTCATCCTGCCATAATGCCTAACATTGTATTTACCTTTTGCAAATAAATTTAAATTTACAAATAGATGCAATTTTCCGATACTGAAGTCAAAACAAATGAAAGGACAAATATACTGAATTTTGAAATTTGTCTGCTTCCAATGCTATGTTTTTTCTCCTTCCCTTACAGAAGGGCGCTACTTCTATATTCTGCATCCTGGCATTGTACTTAAGCTTGAAGCAGTGAGCAACAGAGCTGCTCATGAAAGAGACTTCTAACTAGCAAAAGCATTCCGTGCTTATTTTTTCACATAGGTTAGCTTGCATAAGGTTGATGCAGTCTTTGTTCCTAAGTAATCTATACAATCTGGTCAGATTTGGTGACCAACTTATGGTTGACCAAACGGTGGATTCACCAAACTAACAATGCTACTACGAAGAACAGCTGAATAACCAACCTACACCCTGCAAGGTTCGTCATCAAGCCCATCTGTACAGATTCATTAGTTTGTAGTAGTTTGACAACTGACAAGTGTTTAACTCTAGATTCATACGCTGTTCCAATCAGTCTCCTCAAAAGCGTAGAAACTGCAACTTCTCTCAAGTCTCAACCTTTCCCTAATCTAAATCGAAATTACATATATGTTACAGAGAAAACCATATAAAATTCTACAGATCACAAATGTGGCGGGACGCCGAATAAACTAGTCGACGAGGCTGTCACACGTCGGCCTGACCGCCCCGAGATCGCCGGTGAGCACGTCGGTGCGGCCCATCTTGACCATCGCCGCCGCGAAGTCGGCGAAGTACTCCTCCGACGACGACGCGTTGGCGAGCTTCTCGACGTAGCCCCTCGTGACGGGGTCGTCGCGGAGGCTGCCGTCCGACTGGAACAGGCCGCCCGTGGCGAGCACGTGCCGGTAGTAGCTCAGGTCGAATGTGAAGCCGCTGCCGGGGTCCATGGGCACCTTGGCCGCGCCGCCGGCGCCGCCATGGCCGTCGTGGTCGTGGTCGTGGCCGTGCCCCGGCGGGCAGAGCTTCTTGAGCTTCGCCGCGTAGCCGGCGTCCAGCGACGGGTCCTGGTCCATCCTTCCGGTGAAGTTGTACAGCCGCTTCTGGAACGCCCCGCAGTGCGACGTCCCGATGCTGTGGCATCCTGCACGACGCCGCCGCCGCCGCCGGCGGCGGCCAATGGCCATTACCGGCGTTCTGATAAGCTGTCGCCGTCGTCCAACGCGAGAAGCAAAAGGGGAAAAGGAGACGGCGTGGTAGTATACGTACCGAAGAGCACGGCGATGTCCTTGGCGTTGAGAGACTTGACGCTGAAGAAGGTCTTGACGTCGACGATGTTGGAGTCCGGCGGCGCCAGGTCGTTCTCGGCGTACTCGGCCACGCTCACGTCGCCGTCCCTCCTCCCGGTCTCCACGTCGTACCACGGCCCCTTGCTCTGTGCGAATCAAGGAGCATTCAGAAGCAGAGCGCGATATCGATTTGCAAAGAAGCCATGGATTTGTTCCGTGAGGCGCGTACCAGGTAGACGGCGTCTCTCGCCGCCATGGCGATGATGTCGGCGCAGGAGACGGTGAGCGGGCAGACGGTCTCCAGCCTCGCCTTGATCCGATTGATGGCGTCGTAGCCCCGCATGCTCCGGTTGGGCGTCGCGTCCCTCTCCCCCTTCCCGCTCCTCGACCTCAGCATGATCGATCCGTCACACCCCTGCAACCAACCCAACCACGATGATCGCCATGGACGAGCATGAAGTAGCTTGGGGCAATTAAAAATTGTTAATTACCTGGACGAAGCAGTCGTGGTAGTGCATCCGGAGCAGAGACGGCGCGAGCGTGGGATCCTCCTCGAGGATCATCCTCATCTCGCCCAGCACGACGTCCTCCGCGACAGGGCACTTGGCATGGTAGAACCCCACCTGCAGCGCGGGCCACGCCGCTGCCGCTGCCGCTGCCTCCGCCGAACCCGCGACGACCTCGCCGCTCGCCCGTAGGGCCAGCAAAAACAGCAGCAGCTCCAGCTCCCGGGACATGAGGCGGCAAACTGTCTCAACGCCGAGCCGCGCGCCGCGCCGGAGACGGGATCGGAGCCACGGGAGGTTACGGGCAACGATCAAGCTGTACTGCGGCAGCAGCTAGGCAGCGGAGAGCCATTGGCGTAGTACAAAGATGGCGACGAGACGCGGGCAAACCAAAGGTCGATGCGTTTGGTCGCGCCGTGCTTTCAGATGGGTGCGTGCGTGTGTGAAACAGAGCGTTGAGTGCGACGGACTCTACTCCGCCTAGCTAGTAAGCTCGAGCCTGTGGCCTGCGGCTGCTGCAACTTGCTCATGGAGTTGGGAGGCTTGGTTGGTTGGTTGGTTGGTTGGTTGGTTGGTTGGTGCGCGCGCCGGAGTGCAGTGTAGTGCGGGAAGAATTTTTTTCGTTTTTAGATTTTTTTTAATATTTACAGGAATAATCTATCGACCAAAAAAATTGTAGAAATAGCCCCTGCCGCCCTAATGGTGGGCGGCAAGCTGACGTGGCAGACGGTGGGTCGACCGCGCCGTCTGCCGCCGTCGGCCAAAATTGCGATTAGGCCCTTACCGCCCATACAGAGGGCGGCAAGGGGCTAATTACAATTTTGGCCGCCCATAAAGAGCTTGCGGCCGTACTTTTTCATCTGGATCCCTTGCCGCCCTAATAGAGGACGGCAAGGGACCCAGATGAAAAAAAGTACGGCCAAAAGATCTAAAACCGAAAAAAATTCTGTAGTGCGGCAACCGTTCGGCCCAGGGCGCGCGTTCGCGGACGCGTCTTGCTGCTGGTGTTCGGTGGCGCGGCGTTTTCGCGAGGGAAAGCGTTGGGGCCTTTGAGGAGTTGGGTTGTATCAGATGAGGCCGTACGTTTCTTTTAGTTGGGAGAGACAGGCCGAATTGGGTCACCCAGGCCCAACCATATTGGGCCTAGATGGACAAGCTAGTTAGCTCAAGTGGGGATTTTATGTTGAAAGGTGTGTGTTCAAAGTTGGAAAATAATATCTCCTGTGGAGATAAAGTTCGTTTCTTCTGGACCAATTTAAAGCCGAGTAAAGATAGTAATATTTATCTCCTATTAAGACCCTTGTATATTATATGTAGAGAGTAGGATGAGACATTGATGGTTGATTGTACACGAGAACAAACGGAATTGCTAAAAAACCGTCCCAAGTTTTTTGGGCAAAAAAACTTTTAAATGTAACTATAGTATAGTTGTAGTGTAATATTATAACTATAGTGTAACTATATTGTAATCTCTATATAAGTTAGATATAAAGTTGCATATATTATTTTAATACTTATATACATGTCATACTATAGTTATAGTGGAAATTATATTATAATTATACTATAGTTAGATTTGAAAGTTTTTTCCAGCAATTTTTTAGATAGTCTTGAGAACAAATCTAATAAGAGAGAGTTCTATTCTATATCTCTATGTCAATTGTCTATTTCTGCAATATTCTCGAGGACAAGTAAAAGGACATATGTGTTCTACATCTTCTTACGCCTCTACTGTTGTGCGAAAAACAAGGAACAGATCCAATGATCCACTAATAAGCGTATTGGTTTACAACACGTTAGCAGCTCTTCCATCAACGGTTTTGTCGTTCTAATCTGTTGTTAAGATTAATTCTTCCAATTTCAAGGTCCCTGAGCAGCCGAGCATAAAAGTAAGGACCCTTGAACATGCGTATATAAATCATTTCGAAAAAAATTTACTGTCCCAGAGAGATATCGAGAGATATAATTTTTTTTATAATTATAAATTTTGATACCTCCTTTGAATAGGTCGGCCCGCGTAAATGGCATATGTGTAGGTTCGTGTGCCAGTGCTCAGTTAAACGTGGGAGATGCTAAATTTGCCGAATTATTAACTGCTTGATGAAGTTACAATACGGAAATATAGATCGCAGATAGCACTCAGGGTGTCAGGACTGATCAGTACCCATCTCATACTATACAGGCCGGTCGCGTATAATAATAGCCAATGTTCGTACCGGCCTTAATTTGATTTGGTGTCATAGATGCCATCATGATCAGCAATAATCAATTGCATTTTCGTAAGTGCATGCCATGTGACCAAAGCTACTTAAGAAATGTTTCTGTCGTTCAGTTTGGACAGACATTCAGGCCAGAGAGCTGCAGGCACAATGGGGTTAACAAAATGCAGGGCGCCAGAGAGGTTTGTGGGACTCTGCTGACAGTACTGAACAGCATATCAATTATCAAATTGCCCTGGAACACTTGTCATGGCACGCATGATAGATGAGTCCATTCTTGACCAGATTGTTCCTCCAATTATAGTTGTCAGTTGCGAATGATCAGATGTGCAACCCATGTGATGCGTTGCTGTGTGTTACAGCTTTAGTAATGACTCATTTTGGTTTACTAGTTTTCATGTTAAAATGACGACAGTGGCATCATAACTGAGTAACTGTCTGACAAAGAGATAGAGGCACCAATGAGTGATAAAAAATAATAAATGTATAATAATGCAAGGTGAAAAAAAATGAAGTTTATTCATATGATCATGATGAGCACGTACTTGGAGAAAACTTTGTTACATACATGCATGGCTCGCTATATAAACAAAACAATTAATTAATGAAGTGATTGAAATCAAGAAAAAAAAAGAAGGGACAGGTAAATCTTACGATAATGATCTACATGGAAATTAATTATAAGATGGTCACGGCCGGAATCAAAAGCTGAAATCCATAATCACAGTCTCGGCGAGCAGCTGATGATATATGACGATAATTAAGAGAGATGATTAGTTAACCACGTTGCACTTCTTCCTGATCTCGCCCTGGCTGCCGGTGAGCACTTCGACGCCGCCCATCTTGACCATGGAGGCGGCGAAGTCGGCGAAGAACTCGTCCTTGTAGCCGCCGCCGGCGTGGCGCTGCACGTAGGCGCGGGTGAAGCCGTTGGTGAGCAGCTCGCCGTCGGAGTGGAAGAGCCCCCGCCGCTTGGCCACGTTCTTGAAGTACCCCAGGTCGAACGTCTTGAAGCTCCCCGGGTCCATCTCCACCAGCGTCGTGTTGTCTTGGAGGCTCGTGCACTTGCTCCTCAGCCTCGCCATGTACTGCAGCTCCAGCGTCGGGTCGATGTCGTGGGCGTTGTCCAGGCCGGTGAAGTTGTACAGCCTGTCAGTGAAGGAGAAGCAGTGCGACGTCCCGATCGTGTGCCCAGCTGATCAACATCGACAATGGATCGTGTCAGACACCATGGATGGATGTGTGTACGTGTGTGAAGAGAGTTTGTGTGGTGGCAATGGTGATGGTTACCGGAGAGGACGACGAGGTCCTTGAGGTCGAGGTTCTTGGCGGCGAACATCTGGGTGAGCTCGGTGAAGTTGGCGGTGGGAGGCGGCAGCTGGTCGGTCTCGTTGGCGATGGACACCCTGCCGTCGCGGCGGCCGAGAGGCACCGCCCAGAACGGGCCCTTGCTCTGGAAGAGAAGACAACGACGACGACAAGTCGAGGTGAGAACTTTTTGCTTCTGCAAACTGTGTCAGAGTACACGTGTCATGCGTGCATTGCAGTGTACTATACTCTACTCACCAGCCACACGGCGTCCCTGGCCATGAGCGCGAGCACGTCGGCGCAGGAGACGGTGCCCGGGCATGCCTTCTCCACGGCGGCCTTCACCCTCTCGACGAAGCCGAACCCGCGCAGCGTCTGGTTCGGCGTCGCGTCCTTCTCCGCCGTGCTGTTCCCGGCCGAGTCGAGCAGCACCGAGCCGTCGCAACCCTGCATGCACAGACAGTCGACGCCGGCCGGCGACGAGGTTGTCAGGCGACCTGATCGAACACTACTACTATACACCAGCAGCCGCGACGCAATGGAGAATGGACACTGCATGCACAGCTTACCCTGACGAAGCAGTCGTGGAAGTGCATCCTGAGGAGCGGGCCGGCGAGGCTGGGCGCGGCGCCGAGCGCGCGCACCATCTCCTTCCGGACGACGGCCTCCACGCTGGGGCACGAATTGCTGTAGAACTTCTCGTCCAGCTGCGCCGACGACGCCATCACCGCCGCCGCCGCGAGCAGCAGCGCTAGGATCACCCTCGACGACGCCATGATCACCACCAACCTCGATCAGAGCTAGACAACAAAGCTAGCTAGCTAGGCTAAGGCTAGAAGAGAATGCTTGTTGCTGGTAGCTGCTGCTGCTGAATTTGCGGGCAAGAATTGGCGCGAGATTTATAGCGCGGCGCCGTCCTGGCCCATCCTGTCCCTATTCCCCCATGTGGTAGGCTGGCTTAGCTACCTGCTAGCTGCACTTTCTGAAGAATCACGCATGCAAATTATGCAAATGGCACAATGAGCTGTTCTTGTTTTCGCTTTGCCGAATCTTTCTTGTAGCAGGTACGCATTCAGATACTAATTGCCATCCAAGAACGAAGTACCAATTGTACTGCAAAAACTTTTTTAAAATCGGCTACGGAAACAGTTGGTTGTGGAGTTCTGATCATCGCGGGCGCCGGGCAGGAGTCAAGAATGCAGCACCTACTGGTTGTTAGCAGCAGGCCAGCAGCAGCAGCGAAAGAGATGAGGAGAAGAATTCGTCGATCGAGAACGTATTTTTGTACGTTGTACTGACAAAATCAGTGCGAGATGTCTCTGCTGCTTGATCGATCCTGTAGGCGTGTGCTTTGCATGGAATCTAAAGCAAAGTTGGTCAATTTGAAGAGTAATTTATTTCTCGCTGTGAACTTCTGAACCGCAACTGAGAGGACGTGGGAGATTATCCACATGCTGTCATGTTGATTAACTTTAGAGGTGATGATCAGACAAAGTACTGTGGATTCCCTTTTTTTTTTCTGTGGCCTGTAACCATCGGTTCAAGCCATGTGCACTGTTGCAGGCTGTAGCAACTGACAAAGATTAATGCCCGAGGAAACAATACCATTTCACACCTTAATTAACTACTCTCTCCGTTTTAAAATGTTTGATACAGTTGACTTTTTAGTACGTGTTTAATCATTCGTTTTATTCAAAAAATTAAAGTAATTATTTATTCTTTTCACATCATTTGATTTATTGTTAAATATACTTTCATGTACACAAATAGTTTTACATATTTCACAAAAATTTTTAAATAAGATGAACGGTCAAATATGTGCTAAAAAGTCAACGGTGTCAAATATTTTGAAACGGAGGGAGAACATGTACCATCCTGCGCTTCTGATAAGTTAGTTATGTGAAAATGTAGTAAAAAAATGGCAAATGTGCCGTTTAACCTCTTTACCTATTTGGGTTCAAGATTCAGTACTAGAATGGGAGTTAAAAAAAATGCTGCTTTCTTCTGAGATAGTTCTCTTTTGTTCAGATGTCCCCTTGTTTTATTTATATCGTATAAACAATTATGAAAAAAATGACTTGAACTTAAACCTACATGTTGTAGAATGATATACATATTGATCTATATTATTATTATTATTATTATTATTATTATTATTATTATTATTTAAAAAATATAACTATTTAGATAGCATGCGAGAAACGAGGGAACATCCATTTAAGGAGTGAAAAATGACAAATATGCTATAAGTTTAATATTTGGGTTCTAGAACGAGAGTTAGGATTATTATGGGGAAACTCTTTTAATCACCCGAATGGATGTGCACTGTTTAATGCATGTCATCTAAATAATTATGAAAAAATTGGTAAGATAAATCAATATGTAATATATCACTCCACAAACGTAACATGCAACTTAAAATTTAACTTCTACAAATTGTAAAAGAAAAATAACAAATAAAACTCAAATTAGTATATGTATATTTGCAGTTAAATTTGTTGTTTTTGTTACGACTTATAGAAATTAAATTTCAACTTGCATGTTTGTGGAATGATATATTACATATTAATCTATCTTGTCAAAAAAAATTAAAAATTTTTTATAACTATTTAGTTGACATATAATAAACAAGTGAATGTCCACTGGGTGATTAGAATCCGTCTACACTAAGTACTGGTTATATTTGCCTGTTTGAATGTAGAAATCCAGACGATGTCCTGAACCCTGAATCATGAGCAGAACCGAAGTAGTAGTAGGCAAAAAGTACAAACTCTACGCTTATGTACTGAATTAACTTACGTATCGTTCATTGCACGCGACAGGCCTGATCGATGAGTCCACAACACGTTGTCCGTCAGCTGAGCCATTCCTAGCTAACTATCCCCTTTTTTTCAAATCCTGAAATAAATGAACACAGTGAACCGGCGAGCTGAAAATCCAATCAGAGAGTGCTCCGATCCAGCTCAAGTTTACACCTGAAAGCTATAGCTAGCTAGGTTGAATCAAGCGAGACGACCAGTCACCAACAAAAAGGAGAAACGAACAAACTGAAAACTCAAAGCAGCTGACGATGCATTTTGAGTCGTCAGAGCCGGAATGCACATGTGCAACTAACAGGAAAGAGAGCTCTGATCAGCGATCACCACGAATACACGATGATATGAGAAGCGATCGATCGAACATCCGGCGGCGGCGTCGGCGTCGCCGCGCTGGAATTGATCAATCATCCGCACGCACGAGAGACGCCGGGTCGCCGGCTAAGCCTGCAACAACTCGTAGATGGATGGACCAGTGGACACACTGTTAGGTAGTTGAAGTGGTATCATTTTGTTCAGAAAAGGCATAGCAGGTAGGCAGAAGCAGAAACAAACACCAGCTTTCATCGGGGGGCTCATCTCTCATGGCCACATGGGCAACTAGTAGACACTAGACAGTTCAGAAACAGCAGCAATGGCGACTCATCATCTCAGTGAACTGAACTGTTTTAGTTAGCTAGCTAGCTTACTTGCTCCGTTTCTTTTTTCCAGTTTCTGGAAGCTAATTAACCTGTGCTATCTAACTCCGATTCTTTTGTCCCCAGTACACTCTGCTAACTGCAGGCTGCTTGGAGAGATGCTAAGAATTAAAGAAACTGGATGGTGCATCAGTGCATGTGGCCGGTGGCCTTCTGCTAGCTGCCTGCACACACGAGTAGAATGATTGATCACTTAAATCACTTTTGTCATTTGACAACGAGATTTCACCTTCGGAGTTGCCAATGATTAGCACAGCCAAAGTATGAACTGGTAATACTTCACGAGGCTGGGACGAGTCACTTTTTTTTTAGTTGACGAGGATTTTTTTTTTTTTAAAAAAATGGAAGTTAAACCGGTTAACCAGGCCGATTGCTAGCAGTCTGAAGGCAGATGTGACCATTAAACCGGCCCAACATGGACGTTGCTCTTGGGCGGTTGGGCCTGAATATTAGACCCAATTGGGCCCAAACAGTAGGCCCATCCGTGGCCCATAGCGGTAATGTTGGGGCTACCAGGAAGTCTACATTTTGATCCAGATTTCAAAAGGAATAAGTTCATCTGAGGTCCCTTAACTTGTCAACGAATCCGATTTTCGTCCTTCAACCGAAAACCAGATACAACGGGTCCCTCAACTATCAAAACCAGTGCAGATGAGGTCCCTCGACGGTTTGGATGGCGGTTTTGGCTGACGTGGCGCTTACGTGGCTAATTTGACTCGGTCTTCATCTGACGTAGCATTGACGTGGCAATTCGATCCGAAAAATAATAAATCTCATGGGACCCACATGTCAGTTTGAATGAATTAAAAAATGGTGGGTAGCATTCTCACACCTCCTCTTTCCCCATCTCTCCCCTCTCCTCTCTCCAGCGCCACGGGGTCACGGGGAGGTCTGGCGGCGGCGGCCGACGACGCGGGGGAAGGGCGGGCCGTCAGTGGCGGGAGTGTTGGGGGACTCGCCGTAGCCCACCACGATGACGCCGTGGTTGACGTCGGCGGACGGCGGTGCACGGCCCTGTGTAGACACCGCTGCCGTAGAGCTGGAACATGAAGTTGCCGGCGTCGACGGTGACGGACACCGGCTGCGTCGCCACAGCCCTCGCCAGGTCGGGCTCGCTGCTGGTGTCACGTTCCGGTAGCCCGCGATGCTGACCGCGCTCTGGTTCAGCTTCGCCGCTTGGCACGCGCTGTTCGCGGCGTGGTACGGCTAGCTCGCCTCCGTGGTGACTGGTGAGGCCGTGGTTGCCGACGATGAACTCGAACAGCTCATGTACCCGCCGCACCCCACGGCCTCGTCGTCGCAGTCTACGAGCTCCTGCTCCGACAGCGACACCAGCTCACCGTTCTTGTTGATCCCCTCTATCGCCGCCACGGCGGAGAACGCCCAGCAAGAACCTGCATCCACACAACACCCAGATTTCCATCGATTAATCTCCAACATTTTTACAGGTTTGAATCTTTCTTTACCATGCTATTGCTCACACACCACAATCTTCTTGGTACTTCACTTCCACCACTGCTCCTTTCTTCCTCCAATCTACGCTCTTCGGCAGAATATCATCACTGCTCTCTCCAGGCATTGCTCTGAGGAATTGCGACATGAGGTCTGAACCCCAGCATCTTGGCTCTGAACTCCTCGTTCGTCAGGTCGGCGAACGTACTTCTTGTCAGCCAGCTTGTAGCCATTGCACATGGAGTTGAACTTCTCAACAAGCTCAACGTTGCTCCTGTACACCTCGAACCTCCTCTGCTTCTCGTCGGCAGTCGTGCAGCTCCCGGCACTGCGCTCGCACGAGCTCTAGCTCGTCGGAGACGGGCGGCGCGCCGCGGCCCCGATCTCCTCCACGAGCCCCCGCGCGGGGTCCGCGCCGACGCCGTGAGCGAAGACCCAGCGCTCCCGCCGCCGACGCCCTGCCCACTGCCCTTCTCCCACGTCGCCGGCCGCCGCCGCCGGACCTCCCCGTGGCCCCGTGGCGCCTGGAGGGAGGAGAGGGGAGAGATGGTGAGAGAGGAGGAAGAAGAGGAGGGGTGACAATGATATGTGGGGCCATGTGGGCCCCACCATTTTTTAATTCATTCTTTTGTTGAAACTGACATGTGGGTCCCATGAGATTTATTATTTTTCGGATCGAATTGCCACGTAAGCGCTACGTCAATGCTACGTCAGATGAAGACCGAGTCAAATTAGCCACGTAAGCGCCACGTCAGCCAAAACCACCATCCAAACCGCCGAGGGACCTCATCTGCACTGGTTTTGATAGTTGAGGGACCCGTTGTATCTGGTTTTTCGATTGAAGGACGAAAATCAAATTTGTTGACAAGTTAAGGGACCTTAAATGAACTTATTCCATTTCAAAATATTCTGTGAGCCATATATACCGTGGGCTTCCAATCCTCCTCAAATTAAAGGGCCTTTTTAAAATAGATAATTGCCTTCTTTCAGTCACCCATAAAAGTACAAAACTACTACCAACAAGCAACATGCGCAGTTACACACATTTTCTGCACATTTCCACCACGTCACAAAGAGCTAAGAGTTATCCCTAGGACAATCTCATTAGTGTAGATACATCCATTAATCTTTTATCAGAGGCAAACGTAAAGCCGCTCTTTATGACAAAAATAGGTGACACAAAAGTGTTATCTGCCACATACATAACTTCAGAAATTACCCAACACCAAGAGAAAAATAAAAAAAAATCTTTTTGCAAGCTCCAAATCTTGGAAACCTTTTTCACTCTTTGCAGCATTGTACTCTTGCTCTTTTTCCAACCGATCCATGTCACCCTCAAGCTTCTACTTGATCTACACGAAGCTCACCGTGCACACAACCATGGCCACAAAAACCCTATAAAACCCCATCCGATCGCCATCATCTCATCATCAGTTCATCACCAACAAACAAAAGAGGAAAAAAAACATATACACTTCTAGTGATTGTCTGATTGATCATCAATGGCTAGCAAGGTCGTCTTCTTCGCGGCGGCGCTCATGGCGGCCATGGTGGCCATCTCCGGCGCGCAGCTGAGCGAGTCGGAGATGAGGTTCAGGGACAGGCAGTGCCAGCGGGAGGTGCAGGACAGCCCGCTGGACGCGTGCCGGCAGGTGCTCGACCGGCAGCTCACCGGCCGGGAGAGGTTCCAGCCGATGTTCCGCCGCCCGGGCGCGCTCGGCCTGCGGATGCAGTGCTGCCAGCAGCTGCAGGACGTGAGCCGCGAGTGCCGCTGCGCCGCCATCCGCCGGATGGTGAGGAGCTACGAGGAGAGCATGCCGATGCCCCTGGAGCAAGGCTGGTCGTCGTCGTCGTCGGAGTACTACGGCGGCGAGGGGTCGTCGTCGGAGCAGGGGTACTACGGCGAGGGGTCGTCGGAGGAGGGCTACTACGGCGAGCAGCAGCAGCAGCCGGGGATGACCCGCGTGAGGCTGACCAGGGCGAGGCAGTACGCGGCGCAGCTGCCGTCGATGTGCCGGGTTGAGCCCCAGCAGTGCAGCATCTTCGCCGCCGGCCAGTACTAGGCTTAGCTGGCTTGCCTCATAGCTAGTAGGATCACACCGTTGCTGTGTTGCATGCAACGAGATAGTGATCAAAACAAATAATGAATAATGAAATGTTTTGAAAACAAAATAGCTGGTGATAAAGTACTATATATGATTTTGTGCGTTCTGGACAATTTTATTCTTCAATACTACTGCAATAATCCCTGGATAATAGTTCTTGACAATTATCAAAATCAGAACCTTGACAAAAAAAAAAAACAAAGAGAAATTTTACCGGCGTTAAGAGGTAGCAACGGGCACCAACATTTTTAATGTAAATTTGATATCTCCTATTACTGGAAATAATATTGAGAGATATCAAATTTTATACTAGAAAATATGGTACTTCCTAGTACCTTAATGTAACGCTCCGCTTTTCGTGAGACGTTAAAAACTAATTCGGCAAAATCTTATATGCGAAAATTTCCGTTCTTTGTATGCGAGTCTAAGTTGTGCCAAGATCTCAATTCAAATCCGTCCTTGATCCCTCTCGTCACCATCAAAAATTGCCTCCTCGAAATTCCTCTTCCGACTCAAGTCTCCAAATCAAACTCTGAAATTCTATCCCTCTCTTTGAATCATCGCCAAAATACTTCCCCGGATCCAAAATATCCAAAACCCCATCTTGAATCCTCCGTCTACTCCTTCCTCTCATCCAGATCCCAATTCCAAAATCTAAGTCAAATTCCAAGTTCAAATTCTCTTCGAATCAATCTCCTCCGAAAAAGTCTATTTTGCCTCCCTCGGCCCATCTCCTCTCAGCCGCTCCTCCTCCTCCCCCTCGCACGTGCGTTGCGCGTGTGCGCTCGCTCTCTCCTTCTTCCTCGCTCTCTCTCACCCTTTCTCTCTCTCTCTCTCCCTCTCTCTCTCATTGACTCCCGCCGACGCCGCCCAAAATCCCAGCCACGCTGCCGATTCTCGCGCGCATGGCCGACCGGCAAGGACGCCGCTCCCACGCGCCTCGCCTGCCCGCCGCCCAAAACGGAAGGGAGAGGCTTCCCTTTCCACCGTCCTCCCTCACTTTTTCCCTTCTAAACCCGGCCTCTCTCCTCTCGCCCTTGTCTTCTTGCGCGCGGAGGCAGAGGACGCCGACAACGTCCTGCCGCGCCTGTGCCCCCACCTTGACCGCGCCACGCCGATGCTCCCGCGCCCGCGATTCAATTCCCGCCGTACGATCCACCGCCTCCACCGCCCCTTCGCATCCTCGCCGTCGCCACGTTTCGCGCAGCCCGCGAAAACGCTGCTCCCGCTCGTGACCGCCCGCCGAGCGCCAGCCGAGCGCTCGACCGCCAAGGTCGGTTTCCCTCCTCCAAACCGACCTCTCCTCCTCACCTATAAAACCCAAGCCCGAGCTCCCCCTCTTTTCTTCCCGTTTTACTTCCCTCTGCCGCCGCGCCATTGTCGCCCTTCCTCCGCCGTCGCGCGTGCCGGGAAGCCGACGTGCGCACGAGGAGTCAACGAGGAGCTCTGCGCCGCCCCATCGCCGCACTCCATCTCTCCTTCCCCGGCGCACACGCCTCGACACCGCGCCGCCTCGGCGTCATCCGCCGTGCGCCGCCGCTCGGTCGCGTGCCACCCTCAGCCTTCCAACCCTTCCCATCCCCAATTCGCCGCCGACACCGTTCCTCCCGTCGGTGAGCTCCTCAGCTTCCTTTTTCGCCGTCCCCGCACTCGCGTAGCTCGCCGTGCGCTCTGTTTCCGCATCACCGCCTTCTTCCTCCTCGTACCACACGCGGTGCTGCGTCCGCCACCGAGCAGTCGCGCGCCGTCGTCGGCCCTTCTCTCTCGTCTAACCAGCTCGCCGTCGTCCTCCCGTAATTTCTCGCGCCCCCTCTCTGTTTTCCCGGCGACGCCCCACTCAGTGTTGTGCCGCCCCGCCGTAGCTCTGCTTCCGCCGCCGCCGTGCGCCGTCGCGCGCCGCCGCCGGCCGGTCTCTCGCCGATTCCCGGCGCCGCCACCACCCCCGAGCCCTCTCGAGCCTCCCCGGCGCGCCGCCGCGGCCGCCCGCCTCGCCAGCCGCTGCAGCGCCACCTCTCCCTCATCCGCACCGTTGAATTAGCTCCCCTTGATCCCCGCTTGCTTCCGGTGCACGCCGCCCCTCCCGGTTCGCCGCCGCTCGCCGGTATGCACCGCTCGCCGCCAGCCGTCAGATCGGCCGCCCGGCCTCCCCTCCCTTTCCTCCATCCAACGTGGCTGTCCACGTGGGCTTGACCGGGTCAAGCTGACGCCCCGTCAGCCAGCCCCCCCCCTCTCTCGGCCTCGCCAGCCGTTGGGCTGCGCTGCTCCCCCGGTCCAATCAACCAAAGTCCAGTTATATTCCCTCATGCCGAGCCCAGTACCCCCACCCAAAAGCTAAAGTCCATCTTTGCTCCCTTCCCAAATGCAGTGACCAAAAGTCCATATCTGCTCCCTCCCAATTCACCTCTCTCACCATATGTTGGTCCCACGTGTCAATTCTCAAGAATATTCTTTTCTATAAAATTTATAAATCATTGCCCGCATTCAAAAAAAAATTTCGACAAATCATTTCCTTGTCCAGAAATTCCAATTAAACTCCCAAAATTCATATCTCCCGATCCGTAATTCCGATTAACCCCGTTCCACTTCCAGTATTCCCGTAAAATTGAGATCTATTTAATGGCACTATTATTTAGTCTAAATAGGATCCTTTTCTTGGTCTTTTGTTTAGGTTTTGATTGATTGCGTATAGTTGCGGTTACCGGATTTTTGTCGATCGTGGGATTTCTCGAAGATTCGTGAAGCTTCGTGAAGACCTTGAGCAAGGAAAGTCACCCTTTGATCATTTGCTCCTATAATTGGAAATTCATTATTATTTTGTTTTCAACTTGCATTAGTAGAATCACACACTTAACTTGCTTGGCCTCGGTTTGCGTGACAAACCGACGGACCTACCCAGTAGTCGCACTAATTTCCGTAGGTCGTACTACCCTGATTCCTTGTCGCTCCACCCTTGTGGTACCTCGGTATTCGTGCTCTCTAAGCGTGTATACCAAATATCCCACATACACCGTTGTTTGTCGAAAACTTGGGAAATGGGTTTGTGAAGCCTTCAAAACCCGACATGTGGTGTCGGTGTGTTTGAAAATAAAATGAATTGTGAAAACTCGCGATGCGGGGGTTGTGCCTATGTGGCACTGTCCCGTATTCGCATATAAGGACCGATTCCTGTGGGAAACTCATCGAACATAATCAAAGTGCAACCACAAGGTGGAATGGGACACCCTGGCTAAGTAACTAGTCGGTTCAGGGAAACCTCGCATGCCAATAGTTGGGAACGCCGGGGCGGGGTCGGTTGGAGCCAAACCGGGTTCCTGGTAATGCAAGAACGAGAAGCTTGCTGAATTACCGATCGAGGTGGTTGGAGTTTGAATTGTGAACGCCTAAAATGGCCTATGTTTATGTGAGGATTTGATCCTTCTATGTGGCATGAGGTATCCCTGGGTCGGCTTGGGAAAGGCTTTGTTGCGAACCTCCGATACCGACGGGTGTTCGGAATAAGTTCGTATCTTGTGGATAAAGTGTACCCCTCTGCAGAGGTTAACTAACTGTTCGAACAGCCGTGCCCACGGTCATGGGCGGATGTGAGGTGGTTCCCGTTGCGTAGATTTGTTTGCCTGTGCTTTGTGAAAAGTTGTTGTGGTGTGGGAATCGTAACCAGAATCAGCCTATGTGGCAGATGGACGACCTGAGTGGTCAGAAACGAATCTGTGTGATTCGGGATGTCTGCGGGCATCATAGACTAGGCTTCCCGAGTGGAAGCGGATTGTTGTGCTGCTGGGCAGCTGGACTCTGGGAGTCCGAGAAAATGAAAAAGGCTCTGGGAGCCGATTAATCAAGTGGAATGGCTCTGGGAGCCGAGAAGTAATGATCTGACCCGGGAGGTCGGTACATTACTAAATGAGCTGTTGAAAAACATCTCTTAAAGTCGAATCGAGACGCAAGTCTCTTTTCGGCCCAAACTTAGAAAGAAATAAATCACTTAGTGGTTTCAAAATGATTTCAAACAAAAGATTTGCAAAACAACCTTGCCTCTCTTCCAAGCTTGCATTAACCACCTAAGTTCCCGTGACTTGCTGAGTACGAAAGTACTCACCCTTGCTCTATATAAATATATATATATATAGTTCCTCTGCCCTGAAGAGAAGATAAAGTGAAGTGAAGATTAGGGTTTCGTCCTGGTTCCCAGCCGTCGCCTGTGGTGTTGGGTGTTAGACCGTTGGTTCCGCTGCTGTTGCTGCTGCTGTTGGTGTTAAGGTAAATAAGTCCTCTATTTATTTTAAGGATTGCTATGATTCATATTTGTCACCGTGGGTACCAGCACTATGTCCTGGGACTGGTACCGAGATCGCGGTTTCGTAGGAAGCGGTTCGCGCCGTTTTCCCTATGACATGCTCCTGTCAGGTGCCGTTGTACGGCGGTATTAGATTGGGGTGCGACACTTAAGGATTATAAAATCACAGAAAAAGGTAATGGAAATTTCTGGCCGATCGGCGTTCGTTTCTGACTTTCTGCCGGCCGAGTTATATGAAAATGGTAATCGACCAAAACGAAAATAGAAATAATAAATAATATTGAAAATGGAAATGGTTCCATATTTAGCGTGATTTTGTGAAAATTAAAATTGTTGTACTTCTAAATATGTCTATATATTTATATATTTATAGAGTATGTCTCTACTTGACCTACAATTTAGATTGATTGATCATTCAATCAAATACATAACTTGAATGCATGTCTAAAATGGAGTTAATTTATAATTTATATAGTATAAATTTGAATTATTTATATATATTACATAGTTATGCAAAGTTAAATATACGTTTTTATGGTTTAATGTTTCTGTATTTGCTACCGTTTTCCAATATGTACCGTCATGTTTCATTCCGTATTTTTCCAATTTTTCAATATTTTCGATATTGTTTTCGTTTCCAATTTTACTGTTTTTGATTTTATTTTCGAGAAAAATATGATTATGGAAATGGTTTAGACTGTTTTCCAATGTTTTAATCCCTATCATGCAAACATCCTCGGCTAACCATCAACCATGGCAAAGAAACTAACACCAATTTTTAATGCGAAAAATTAGGGAATGGAAATAACAGTGTTGCTAAAATTAACAACCATTAAAAACACAGAGACGCACTTGGCTTCAGGCCTTCCATTTTTATCAATCCAGAGAAAAACAGAGTCTGGCAGGCTCATTCCCATCCACAGAGAAAAAAAAATAGAACATCATTTTTATTTTTCCAGCGCCTTGCATGCCGTGTTCTTCTCGCCGCGGGAGGAGATCGTCACCCCGCGGCGTCGTCGTCGGCGTCGGCGGCGGCGCGCGGGGGTCGGCACGAGGGTGCTCGCCCACTCTCGCGTCGATCCGGCGATGGGGCTGCTGAGCTCGGCGAGCAGGTCGTGCTGCTGCTGCTCCTGGGTGCGCGGCGGCTGCGCCAGCTGCTGCTCGTGGATCCGCGGCTTCTGCGGCGGCGGCGGGGGGGCGACGACGTCGGCGCAGGACACGGCGGCGTCGGACGCGAAGAAGAGGAAGAAGCGGAAGTGGGTGGTGCGCGGCGTCTTCGGCAAGGCCGCGCGGGAGGCGGAGGAGCCGCTGACGCTGGAGACGATGAAGAAGAGGAAGAGCGCCGCGACGAGCCCGGAGCTGGAGAAGAACAAGTGGGGGACCAAGAAGAATTGGAAGAAGAAGAAGGGCAAGACCCAACCGACCGGCTTGGCCAGCCTCGTCAAGGAGATCTCCCTCGAGAGTAATAAAATATACTACCATTTCTTCCCTTTTTTCTTTTCCTGATTTCTTCGTGCCGAAATAGCAAAAATATCTCCTTTTATATCTTATAAAGGCGAAAATGTGATATGTATAATTCATCTGAAAATTACCATGCTCTTGACCTAGTTTCACCTTTGAGCTATGACTTATAAGTCAGAGAAAAATAAAGGAAAGCAACTAAAAATAATTTATGAGTAAAACCTTTATATTTGTATTATTAACTGTGTTAGGTAAGGTTGAAAAAAAAATCTACATTGAAAAAAGAAACTTCAAAATCAATTCTAAAATTGGAGTGTCGAAATTTAAAATTTGGTTACGGCTGATAAGCTAACAAGATCCTAAACTTTGTTCGTGCAGATAGTACCAGGAACAGGGCAGCGGCAGGAGAGATACTACGGATCGGCAACCACAACATTCCAAGCAGAGTATTCACGTTCCGTCAGCTGGCCGATGCAACCGGCTCTTTCAGCCCGGAAAACCTGCTTGGTGAAGGTGGATTCGGGAGAGTCTACAAAGGATTCATCCCAGACACCAAGGAAGTAAGCACCATTTAACTGTGAACTGTTTTTTTTTTTGAACGGAATTTAACTGTGAACTGTCCTTCCTCAGTCTCTTCATCAACCTGACACCCTGAAAGATTCAGTGATGACTGATGAATGCATCAGTAGCATGTATCTGATGTGAATTTGTGTCCATGTTCATACAGGTCATAGCGGTTAAGCAGCTGGACAAGGATGGATTGCAGGGGAACCGCGAGTTCCTCGTCGAGGTGCTGATGCTTAGCCTTCTCCATCACCCCAACCTCGTCACCTTGCTCGGTTACAGCACCGAGTGCGACCAGAGAATCCTGGTCTACGAGTACATGCCACTCGGTTCATTGCAAGATCATCTCCTAGGTATAGTAACTATCATTACATCTGCATAGCAAAATGCAGACGGGTTTGAGCTAAAGTTCATGATTTTTTTTGTTCTGAATTTTTGTGCAGATCTGACACCGAACTCGTCGCCGCTGTCATGGCACACGCGGATGAAGATCGCGGTGGGCGCGGCGAGAGGGATGGAGTACCTGCACGAGATAGCCAACCCGCCGGTGATCTACCGGGATCTCAAGGCGTCCAACATCCTCCTCGACGGCGGGTTCAACGCGAAGCTGTCGGATTTCGGGCTGGCGAAGCTGGGCCCCGTCGGCGACAAGAGCCACGTCACCACCAGGGTGATGGGCACGTACGGCTACTGCGCCCCCGAGTACGCCATGACCGGCAAGCTCACCAAGATGTCCGACATCTACAGCTTCGGCGTCGTCCTCCTCGAGATCATCACCGGCCGCCGAGCCATCGACACCACCAAGCCCACTCGCGAGCAGATTCTTGTTCACTGGGTAACATTCCTTTATATTCGCCTCAGTGTGCCACAGTTGTATGCTGCTCTTTTTCTAATATATTGACGTGTTCGTGAAAAAAAGATCAGAGATTCAGAATTCAGTCAATGAAAATTTCTCGTTCAGTTCAGAATCAAGATGGTGATCTTATACTGTATGTCTGAAATGCAGGCAGCGCCACTGTTCAGGGACAAGAAGAAGTTCGTGAAGATGGCTGATCCACTGCTGGACATGAAGTTCCCACTGAAAGGGCTGTACCAGGCACTGGCAATCTCATCGATGTGCTTGCAAGAAGAGGCGAGCAGCCGGCCTCTGATCAGCGACGTGGTGACGGCGCTCACGTTTCTAGCTGACCCAAACTATGATCCTCCTGATGACGTTGAGCCTCTGCCGATCAAAGCCCCGAATTTAGACAGAGAGAGTAGCCAGAAAGAAGCTGAAGGAGGTGACAACGACAGCGACGAGGGTGGTGAAGAGCAGGTTTAGGGGGAACAACAAGAAGTAGCTGAAAATGGCTTCTGGGGAGGGAGTTGGAACATAGAGATGATTAATCAACCATGATTAGATGTGGTTAGAGCTGCAAAATTAATATCACTCACCCTCTCCTTTCTCCTTTCAAAATATCACTCACCCTGTTTTTGATGTATAGCACCTATAGGAAAGAATTAACAACAGGTTTTTGTTCTTTAATGTGGTTGACTTGTGTGTTTTGATTAGGCATGTCCATTAAAATTTTCAGGTTTAATATTTGTCAGTCATTTTTTTTCTTGGATGAGCAATGAATAGATTAAATTTGTAGGATAAATAAAAATGTGAAACAATTGATTCGGTGTCATGATTGAGATTGAATAAATGGTAGGGAAAGGCAACCTGCCATAGGCCCACTGTTCACAGCCCAATAGAAAGCGCGGCCCAATAGAGCCCAAAACATACCGACGTCAGCCTACTTAAGTTAAGTCCAGTTGGCTATGTTTCAGCCCAAATAAACCCAGAGCAGCGGCACCTTTTATTTTATCTATCTATTATATATTATTAAAACAGCTTTGAAAGGAGCCACCACGTCTGCTGTGGGGGCTAGAAATTCCCACATTAATCGGAGAAAAAGAAAAAAAAAGAAAAGGCGAGTCCAAATAGAAATAAAATCTAAAAATAGCTAAAATTCGGAATTAAAAATAACCAATATTGAAAGAAATTTCCATATAAAAACCCAATATGAGATTAATCAAAATTCGAAATAAAAATAAAATAAAATCCAAAATTAGAAAAGGAAACGAGAGTCCAAGTAGGAATACAATTTACAATTAGCTGAAATTCGGAATTAAAAATAAGGAATATTAAAAGAAGAGTCCATATAAGATTAATTAAAATTCGGAATAAAAATAAAAATAAATCCAAAATTAGCAAAAGAAAATAAAGAAGAGTTCAAGTAGGAATACAATTTAAAATTAGATGAAATTCGGAATTTAAAATAAGTAATATTGAAAGAATAATCCATATAAGAACCCAATACGAGATTAATTAAAATTTCAAATAAAAATATAATAATATCTAAAATTAGAAAAAATAAAACAGAGTTCAAGTAGGAATACAATTTTAAAACAACTTAAATTGAAAATAAAAAATAAAAACATTAAAAGAACACAATACAGTATTAACTAATTTTTTTTAAAAAAATAAACTCTGAAATTAGAAAAAAAAAATTCAATTAGGAATAAAATTTATAAATAACTAAAAATTGTGATAAAAATAAAGACTATTGAAAGAAAAGACTATCTAAAACACATGACGAGATAAATTAAGTAACAGGCCTATAAAAGAATAGAGTTGGTGGCGGTTGATACGGCATATAAAAACTGTTAATAAAACACCAAATAGAATCCTAATAATGATTAAAAGGAGACGTCGGGCATGCCGTGAAGCAAACAAGTAAGGCGGTTGCCGGGACTTCTAGAAAGTAAAAAAAAAACCACATTGATAATCATTTTCGATTTTTAAAATCTCAATGACAATAAAAAGGAGAAGCAGCGGACGGGGTATATAAGAGTATAGCTACAGAGCCTCCGACGGTTGACAGGACTTCTAGAAAATAAAAAATGAATTGCAACGATAGTTATGTTCGATTTCTAGAATCACAATGACATAAAGAGTAGGTGGCGGATGGGCTGCAGAGGGGCATAGTGGCATCGTTTGATGGGACTTCTAAAAATTGTAAAAAATGAAACTATAAGTCCAATTTTTAAAGGTTCGGAACTTCTAAACAGTAAAAAAACCAATGATAATCATGTTCGATTTTAAAACCCCAATGACAATAAAGAAGGGAGGCAGCGGGCGAGTCGTAGAGGAGTACAATAGCAAAACCGCTGACAGTTTGGCGGGACTTCTAGAAAGTAAAAATGAACCCAAACTATAATTATGTTCGATTTTTAAAATCTCAATTAATGACAATAAAGAGAAGAGATAGTGGACGAGCCGTAGAGGAGTATAATAGCAACGTTTGACGAGACATCTAGAAATTATAAAAATGAAACCCAACGTGACAATAAACTCTAAAAACTGTAAAATCCAATTTTTAAAAGTTCCCAGAAGAATGAATAGAAATAGTGATAGATCGAGCAAGCAAATAAAGGAGATGACATAAGGGGTAGCAACTAGTGTGATTTTTATAAACTATATAATTAGAAACATGATGATGATAAGGTTTGGTCTTTCATAGTCTTAAGAATGAGATAGCTATTTAATAAATTTCAAGTAAAATCATACTTAAAAAAATATATGATTTTTTTTGCTAGCCGCGCAATTGCGCGGGCCACCCAGCTAGGTTTAGGAAAAAGTCTATTTGGCTCTCTCAACTATCAGTCGAATCCAATTCGCATCCCTATGATATAAAACCGGGTTTATTGCCTCCATAAGTATTAAAACAAGTGCAAAACAATTCCCCTGTTGTTTTGAAGGTGGTTTCGGTTGACATGGCGCGTTGACCATAGTTAAACCGGTTAAGTCAATAAGCTGGCCCCAAAACCACGATGTCACCATCCTACCAGCCTTTGCGCACTAGGCCTATGATGCACACAAGAGCCACTAACGGTTGGCTTGGGCTCACGGTTCCTGCAACCGATGCAACTCGATGAGTGTGTTCCTATGGTCTGCTGTCTGCAGCTTTGCCCTTTCATCATTGGCCCCTAGCTTGTAGTTCACCCCAGAACTAGCCGCCAGCCAACGCCTAGCATTTTGTTGCCTCTCACAGTCCCATGCGGTGGGTGGACGTGAATCGGCGGGTTAGCATCACGCCCCTCACCTCGTCGTCGATGATTGTCGTCCCACTTCACAGCGCCAACTTCCCAACCCTCTCCACATGTGTGGTGAGCATTATGGAATGAATCCCTTTATGCAATGGCAAAAATCCCCCAGTCCGGTGTGTTGTAGCAGGGGGTAAACACCGTTCTCCTCATTCGGTCAAAACACTAAGGGAAAGGAGGTCTTGAGAATTCTAAGTATCCAACTCGGAAAAGACTCTAGCGATTGGGAAAACACTATTCAAGTGGTAAAGTTCTATTTGAGTGAACTTGTGCTACTCAAGCAGCTTGTCCCGCTTGAGGCCTTGTTCGGTTCCTTGGGATTTAATCTCCAAGTGGAATATATCCAGGGAGGGATTGAGTGAATCCCTCCCATGTCACTCAATCCCTATGGGGGTTGAAATTCCTTGCTCTCTCTTAAACCCCATGTTCGTTTTAGCCAGGGATTTTAGCTATCAAAATATGATAAATCCCGTGGCTGCTCCTCCGAGCAGACCTGCTTTTGTTCTATCAGTCGGCTGTAATCAGACCTGAATTACGTCAAAGCTTTCATTTACAATGGCTGTAATGAGCAGCTAATCTGAGCAACAACGCTTCAAAGCTTGCTGGGACAGTATTGCAGATTAGAAGCACAGGAAAAACAGTGATGGGTACAAAGAAAAAAAATGTCCACAATATCAAATATCACACACATTTCATTGTGTGGCATGGAAGCACTCAGTTTAAACGCATTCTTAGTAACTCAGATAAATCACAAACTAAACAGGTTTATGAGTGGAATGAGCTGAGCAGCAGGAGACACTATAATGATGCCCTGACTTTCATCATGCTATCTGAAGCAATAAATCTTCATGAACTTCAGAAAATTGCTACCATCAAATAAATTATCTGGAATTTCCCTACCAGTCGATTTCAAGGAACCTACAAAGCACAATGAGTAAACATCAGCTTTCCTATCTCACAAACAGATAAAAGGAAACAAAACTTGAGATGATTGAATTTTCAGAAGATGCAGAAATCATGTATAACAGATAAATATATGGCCAATGCAGAAAAGACTTGAACATGAGTTCTCAAAAAATCTAGAACCATAAAACATGCATATCTATCATACAGTACCAATCTTTGTCTTCAGGTAGAACTAGTTCTTGGTGAATCAAAGACAAGGAAATCAATTGAAGGGTACAGTATATAACTTGCACCTATTGTTGCTAGGATGAAGTATATGGTTTACAGCCCTAAACAACATGCAGGTAACTAACAACAGAGAGTCACACAAGACAGAGTGAAGCCCATCTTACTCGCCTAGCAGACCAAAAAAGATTTATATGGAAGAGAAGCCGTACCTATCAAGCCATCTCACTTCTTAACCAACTCAAGGCAGATTCTGGATCCTCATCACAAGCACTCACAAAAATCTCTCTGTTCTCTGCATTCTTGAAGACGGTATATGCTTTGACCTTTTTTGCCTTTGTCACATCCATCGAATTCAGAACAGATATGCACCTCTTGATTGAAAAATCATTAATTTCCTTTTCTCTTGCTAAATGAGCCTCCTTTTCTCTTGCTAATTGTACAGCCTCATCTTCAGTTTGTTTGGTCCTCATATCAAGGTACCTTTCCATAAGTCCTTCTACGCCAACACTCTTTTTTTGCCTCTTGGGTTCTTTTTCTTCTTTGTTTCTTGGTACAGCAACAACCCTTCTTTGCGGCATCTCTTTAAGCCTTTCAGCATTTGCATTATCATCTTCAGTTGCATCTGCATCATCTTGTACTTGATAAGCCAAAGTGTCCTCATAATCTGGAAAGATAATCTCAGTGTTACCGAGATCATCTTGATCACTCTCAATTTGAGTAATGATTGGATGTTGCAATGGCTCAGTTGAGGTGAAATTGTAGGTTCCTTCTGCAGTATGTCCTACACAAGAAAATTGAGTACAGGAAAGGGTAAGCAAGAAAGCATGATTATAACTTGTGATATTGAAAACAAGGATTATAGCTTGTGATAGAACTAACCATCGTAAAGTTCTCCAAGGCCTCAAATAGAGGGAAAGATTTGGTGCGAAACTTCTTGGCTTTAGGAAATGACTACACAATAAAAGGAAAACACTAAAATGATGCATAATGTAATTAACTACAAAATTAAGTAATGGTCAGAAATAATCTTACGATGATTATATTGTTCCATATAGCAGGCTCAGCCTCAATGATGCATCTCTGGTTATTCCATGAAGCTCCACTTTGTTTTCTAGCCTCTTTCAGCATCCTATATTCTCTTTTTAGCTCTTTCTCCTTTTCTTAGATTTGGGACTTTGTTAAGCAGACATATATGTCCTTCTCATGGAATTCCTTCACGATTTTGTTCCAAGCTTCTGAAGTCCATCCATTCTGACCCCTATACTCAGGAGTGTTGTGCTCATGCAATAACTCAACAAGAATCTTCTCTAGGGCTGGGTTCCAAGAGGCTCTTGTTT